CCCCCCCCCCCCCCGCAGTACACACTGTGGCAAACAGCACAACTGCTTGATAGTGGATTCCAAATTTTTTTATAACATCCATTTCCCTGTAAATACATTCCTAAGCATTCACTCCAACGTATGTTTACTTTTGAATTGAACTGTTTAAGTATATACATTACATAATGCAAAATTTTGAATGGTGAAGTTAAAAATAAAGAGAGGTTCTGCTATGTTCTTTCTACGCCTCAATTTGTAGATTGTTGTCTTAGAGACCAACTTCACTCCCACAGTTCCCCCCATTACACTCTCCAGGTCACCTGGCCTTTGTAAATGAACATAACCACAAATATTTGGCGCACCCTGTCCATTTTATTTACCTAGTTTCCTGTTGTGTGCCTTATGTTTTCACCTGGATCGTGCTGTCTTAGACTACACCTCACCCCTACAGGAACTAAGGGGTACGGGGCCTCAAGTGCTCTGAGTGCCCATCCTCCCTGAGCTGCTCATGGTCTGCCTGCCTCAGTAGGAACCCAACAGCCACGGAGCCCAGGCAGCAGAATGACCCTGCTCTGTTTGCCCTCTGTTTGACTTTGATGGTTTGGAAGGAGGCAGGACTTGAAGAACAGAAGAAGTGTTTGTGCGATGTGTTCCTCTCCTGGGGCCATCTTGGCAAGCCACCAAGGACTTGAGAACAGGCGGATATGACTTAAGGGTTTTCTGAACAAAGAAGGTGGCAATTGAAAAGGAGGGTCAAAACCTCATGTTGTTGGGCTTGGTTCCCCACTGTTGGGTGGGGAAATCACCCTTCACACTTGCTGGGGAGAGGGCTGGAGAGAAGCCGGCTCTGCTGTCCCTTGCTCTGCCTACAGAATATCTGTGTTATGAAGGGCCTTGCTGAGCACCTGGCAAAAGGAGCAGACTGGAAGGAAAGGGCTTGGAGAGGGAAACATTTGCTGAGGGTGTCATGGATGGTTGGGAAGTTATGCTGGACTAGGACTCCTGCCTCCCCATCTAGGAATGTGTGTGTGACGGACCCATTCTCTGAACATGGCGAACCTGTCCACACACCTGTCCTCCAGTGTCCACCTGGGACTGGGCACCTTCGTCAGGGCTCTGACTGTGATCTTGCCCCTAGAGGGAGGTGGCAAAGAAGGGGCACCCTCAAGGATTGAAAATGCTGAGGTGAGAAAAGGAGCCCAGGCTGTCAGGCCTAGAAGATGTGTCAGCTGACCTCTGCTCTGCTTAGACTTTAGGAAGGAAACGGGCTTCTGTAGATTGGTATGTGCACATGTATATTTTGGTTCCTACTTGGTGTTTCTTTTGTTTCTTTGAAAAATACCTTGGTAAATGTTAGCATAGTTTCACCTGAACTACAGAGAAAAATTAAAGAAATAGGTTGATGTGGAACATAAGCTAAGATGTGGGAATTAGGAGGAGGAGGAGGAGGAGGAGGAGAATGGCTCTGAGATCCAGAGGGGATCCCAACAGGGGCAGAGAGAAAAAAAAGGCTGACAGCTAGGATGGTGGTCTCCCTGGAGGCCTCCCGTGCCAGTTCTTTGCTTGTGAGATTCTCTGACACAGTGATGAATCGATAGGGGACAAACCGAAGTTACTAGAATATTCCAACTGAGGATAAGTAGGCGAGGATATGGCTTTCAGAAGGCTCCCAGATCCCACTGGGAGGGCAGAGGATGGTTTGAGGTTAACACAGCTGACAAAGTGTGGGAGGTGGCAGGAGAGTGTTTGACAGCTCCAGGTGCCCCGGCAGCAGCAAGCATTTCCCCAGCTCAACCCGGCCTTCTTGTCTGCCCTGCAAACAAGAGCAATCTGACCCTTTGCTGAGAATGTTAATAGGAGGGCTTATTTGGGGCATCTCTTTTCACACCTCCACAGTCTGTGAGGTGTGAATTGTACTGACCTTGGGGAAACATGGCTTTCTCCTCAGATGCCAGGAGGGATGTGAATCAAAGACTGGAGCCCAAAAGCAGAATCTAGGTTTTCTAAGACCAGGTATGAGACAGCCTCAGTCTAGTTTTCTCCCTTCATAGTCTTGAGGAAAAGGCATTTTGAAAAGTCCTTTGAGAGCCATTGGCTCTGACCTGTGTCTCTCTTACTGCTGTATTTCTCTCAGACAGGACGTTGTCTAATTCTTTCTTAGAAATTAGTAGAGAAGACTAAAGTCCAAAGATCCTGGCTCTTCTTGATTAGAAAATTCCTCCTAGTTCTACCCTAATTTCATTCTGCTCAAGTTTATGCTCATTTCCTTATTCTTTGCCCACAGGAAAAATTGGTCATATGCTCTTATAACTTCCTTTCACATGGTTAAAGACTTTCCTCCAGCAGTTCCCTAAGGGCTGTGCAGTTCAGATTGATGTTATGAATTATGGCCTGGAGAGTGAAGAAACAAGATGGATACATTTGAAGAGTGAAGGATGTGTGTGCACACACATGCGTGTGTGTGTGTGAGACTATTAGTGTGTGTGTGTGTGTGTGTGTGTGCATGGTTACCAGAAGATGGCGAATGCACAAGGTGAGCTGTGCCTTTGAAACAACCAGAGATTTCCAGGGATCCAAAAAGTACCAGCATTTCTTAGAGAAACGTTAGCAGCTGCTTAGAATGTGGCCTTGGTCTTACTAGAAACCTGTCTGGAGGAGTGTGATGGAAAAGGAGCATGTGACCTCAGGAGCACTTTGTGAAGGACAAGAGTGGCTCTCCTTGAAGACCATGAAACTAAGGTCAGAAAAAATAAAAGGACATAGACATAGGCAACACTTCTCTGAGAAGGCACGTCCCCTCCATCTCCCATCCCCTTCCCGGGCATAAGTCTTCCACTCCTGCTGATGGCTTTAGCCCTGGTTCACTGTCGCTTTCCCCAGCACTTATCCTGTCATGATCCCTGGTGATTTCAGCAGCCATCCTTCCAGCCTCTGCCTGGCCTTACATCATGCCCCCACCCCTCCAGGAATTCTGGCCTCTCCTGCTTCAGCCTCGTTCCTTGGTCATCGTCTAGGTCAATAACTGCAGTCCCTCTGTAATCTGAATTTCAAGCATCCCACTCTCTCATCCCCACCGCTGTGACAGAGATGGCTAATTGTTTCCCATCCAGATTTACATGATCTCATCCATATTATCATGATTTCTGAGAATCACTTCTGAGCCAAGGCTTTTAAGAAATTTCTCCTTCCATCTCTGGTCCGCTGAGCCAGGCCCAGTGGGGACCCCAGGCAAGCAGCACAGAGCTGTAGGCTACTGAGGTCTCTGCCAGAGTAGCAGGGGGTGGGAACCTGGGACTGGAAGGGGCATCTACCACCTCCTAGCCCAAAAATGCCTCTTTGCCAAGAGGCTCATGTAGACCACCACAAAGAGGAAGCCAAATGCTTCTCCCAGGAGGGCTCTGCTTCCATGGGGCTCAGATTCTGAGAGGTGGGGATTTCCCATGGGAGCCAATGGGGGTCTTGGGGTGGGTCTGGGAACTATGGCACTACCCAGGGAGAGGCAGAGTGTCATGGACTGTGCACTATTTAGCCTCCCATTCGCTATATGCTTTTCATTTCCCTCTTCTAGACAGCCACCATCTCACTCCTCATTCCCTTTTGACTGGCATTAGTACAGCGGGTCCTCCTAGTCCCTGTGACAGACATTTTTAAAAGGTAAAAATATAAACAGATAATTTTTAGTCACTGTAAAGTGCTACAAACACCATTCACTGAGTTTTCAACTCAAAAAGCAAAACCCAGCAGAGACACTTGAATAGCAAGTAAGAGTCCACCAAGGAAGGGGTTGGGGACTCCAACCAATGCTCCTCTGTCCTAAGTCCCCATCCCACGAAGTCGTGCAGCTCTGCGCAAACTTAAGGAGGTGCCATCAGGGTGTCAGGGATATCTTCCCAACTCCCACCCCCAGCCTTCCCACTCCCAAGGGTCACCTTCTAGAGGGGCCAGGAGCTGGGGAAAGGGGCTGCTGGCCCCCAGTTGAGGTGAAGTCTGGGGTTCTTCAGCATCCGCTGGGCTGGCTTCTTTCACCTTCAGCGTGGGTTCTGAGGCCACCTCCGGCGCTGTGGCTGTCTCCATGCTGGGCCACCGGAGGCTGGGCTCCAGTGGCAGATTTTCACTGTTGGTGCTGAGGGAGGGGCTGAGCACCTGCTCTTCAGCCTCTCCAGGGGTCCCTGCCATGGGGTTATGTAATTGGGCTGGCTTCTCCCCACCCAGCTACTCCCAGCAAGAAGGGCTGAAGCAGGGGCTGGGGGAAGAGAGAGGAATCAGCAGCCCAGAATAGCCACAGGAGGAGGGCTGAGGTGGCCCTGTTATCTTAGGAGTGAGATGACACCCCTCACACAGCACCAGGCAGGGAGGAGAGAGCTTGAGCTTCAAACAGCTCCCCTTCCTCCCCCACACAGACCATCCAAATGGGGTCTCTGGCTTCTGTGGGATTGGGTGACATCTTGACTCTTCACCTCCAGCTCATCCAACAGGGTGTTCAGGTCCAAAGAAAGGGGCCCCAGGATTAGCTGAGTGACAGGCACGCCTTTAACTGCTCTCTCTCTCTGCTCCCACATTCAATGCGTTGTAAAAGTCTTGTCAACTTGACCTTTTTTTGTTTTGTGGAATTTTTTGATAATCCTCTCCTGAGGATATTTTTCCCATTGATTTTTAGAGTGGAAGGGAGGGAAGGTGAGAGAGATCCATGTGAGACACATCGATTGGTTGCCTCCCACATGTGCCCAGCTAGGGGCTGGAGCTGGAGCTGGAAGCTGCAACCCAGGTATGTGCCCTTGACTGGGAATCGGACCCGTGACCCTTTGGTGTGCGGGCCAATGCTCTAACCACTGAGCAACATCTGCCAGGGCTTGTCAACTTGACCTTTAAGGGTGCATCCCCATTCTCCCCCCCCAGTGACAGTGGAAGGTACAGTCTGCACTCAGAAGCCAGACTACCAGGGCTCATGTTGGCCCTGTCACCAACTAGTTGTGACTTGTGACACATCACAGTCTGTCTTAGGTCTATTTCCTCATCTGAAAAATAGAGATGATAATAATCATAGGGTTGCTGTGAGGAGTAAAAGAGGTAATCTGTGTAAAGTGCTTAGCAGAGTGTAGCCAACTAAGTGCTCGATAAATGGGAGCTATTTTTAGGTCAGGCCACTTGCCCCTTTGAAAGCTCCCTCACCTAGGAGATAAAGTACACATAGAGAGAGAGGCAGCCGTGGGGAGGGAGGAGAGCCAGGGGCATAAGGTCAGAGGACTTGAGTGTGACTTCTGGCTACACTACTCACTCTTGAGCTAGGTGACTCTGAGCCAATCCCTCCCTCTGGACCTCCGGTCTTTGGTCTGTAAAACAAGGGCTAATGAGGCCAGGGCTGCTTGAGGATAAAGTGATACAAACGTAGGGAAGTGGCCAACCTACAGGAGATGTCAGTTACATACTAAAGGTCCTCTATGATTTCCAGGTTTGCCAAACCATCATTCTACACGTGCTGTATGCTCCGTCCAAGTTATCTGGTTTCCTGTTGTACTTTTATCTCCAGAAGCCAGCATCCCCTCTGTATATACATCCATATTTCTATATAGACTATTTTTAGAGGTTTAGGTTCACAGCAAACTTGAATGGAAAGTACAGAGTTCCTCCCACATACCCCTCCCCACAAGGCCCTTATATTTTTATGGAAAAAAGTAGTGTGGTTGAATGAATAGGCTCCTTACTCACGGTTGTCCTTTAGCCCTCAATTTGGGGGCAGTCAGTAGGATCCCAGTAGGCTGTGTTACTGTCTTGGGGTGTGGGGCAGAAGCCCTCTTTGCAACTTATATACGGTCTCAGGGCCAGGACAAACTGTAGACACACTTTGGGCCCCGGAACCTGTTTACCAGGAGCTAGGATGGCCAAAGAGGGTGATCTTGGACCTGGACCTAAGGCTGGTTGGTAAGAGGCTGCACTTACCAGGTGCCACATCAGGACCAGTGTGAAAGCCTCTCTGACCTATTTCTGTCACTTGACCCAGCCAAGGCCCTTCTAAGTACAGACAGTCCCTACCCTACACCAGGGGACTCCAACCACCACCACCCTTACACCCAGGTTTTTAGTCCTAGCCCTTTGCTGCAACAAAGGGGTGAAAGAATCAAATAAAAAATGCAGACTCCTAGGGTCTGTCCGTTAGAACAGTATAATTTAATAGGTCTGACTGGGGTCCAGGGATCTGCATTTTCAAAAGCAACCCAGTGATTCTGGCATAGGAAGTCTGAGAACACTGTTAGACAAATTCCTGAAAATAAAACCACCTTAGATCATCTCCCGGGGGAAGAACTCTTCCACCAGACAGCAGGCTCCTCAAGAGCAAGGTCTCTCTGCCTTGTCCTTTTCAGACTGTGATGCCAGAGCAAGTATTGCAAGGAAATATCACCCCAGGATGGCAGACTGAGGAGCCAGCTCAGCCTAAAGGCTCCAGGAGGGTCAGCAGGAACCTCTTCTAAAAGAAAATGTGAGAGGAAAGCTGCAACTCTTTGAAAGTCCTTAAATGAAATGGATCAGGAAGGACTATGAGTAAGAGCAGGAAGAAAAGTGTAAGAGGGGCAAATGGAAAGATAACAAAGTTAAATGTCAGTGTTGTCATTTGTCAAACCTGCTATAAGGAACATACAATTCAGGAGAGTGATTGTATGTTGCTGTGTCCAGAAGAAGAGCACAGCAATCGAAACCTGAGGTGTGTAGGGTGGGTCGGTTAGACTTTCTGGGGAAAAGAACAAGAAAGCTGGTCTTATAAATACCCAATATTAGATCTTTATAAGCATAAAGAGGAAGAAAAAAATGAGTTTCCCCCACAAATTATCTTAATACCTTTTATGCTATAAATGCACAGTCCTGGCTCTTTAATTGGCTTATTTGCTGGTTTGGTTTGATGGCTGAAGCTAGAAACTGGAAAAGCTATCATATTCACAAATTGTAGCTTAGTCATTTCAGTAGCTCAAGTAACAAAGTCCCAGTCTGTTTTATTTCTAACCCAAATATTGCAAATATACAGAAAATTACCAGTACAAAGTTAAAGACATCCAGATTTATTTACACAATGCTTAAGAAATTTGAGTTTTATTTCCATTTTGTGGAATTTTATTATGGGGTCTGGCTTTGTTGTGTAACTGGCATGGGTCATTGAGACTTGATTATCCCACCTCACATGCAATTTTCTGTCCCAAGGGAACAGAAAACTGGTTTGTTTTTTAGCGCACATGCAGCAATGATCTTAATAACTGCTTTACACTTTAATAGGAAGGCGGCTGTCCCATAGCTTGGGGAAGAGGCAGAGAAGATACAGAACAGGGAGGGACCACATGCTCAGAAAGGGAGCAAGAGACAAGAGAGGACTGAACAGGCACATGGGGACCCTGAGCATTTTTGTGCACGAGGATAAGGAGAGTATGACTAAAACCCTCTTCCCTAGACATCCAAACACAGGAGGTGGGCAGAGTATCAGGGAACAGTCGTCACCTGACCACAACTGCAGGCATGCGGAGGAAGAGAACTGCAGTCAAGATTTGGGACACATCAATAGATCATTAGCATGTACACTATACAGTTTATACATGTGTATATGTACATATGTATAAAGGTACAGATTAGTTTGTTATTCTCTATAAACAAGAACCCTTAAGAATGCACTGGTGTGAGAAAATGCATACAGCAAGTTGAAGACAACTTCAAATTCATGTTCTGATTCTTATTATAATGTAATGTAACCAGGAAGGCAACGTGCTGCTGCGATTTCAGTTATCCTCCATGAGGGTAAGGCCTGGGCTCTGCTAGGGCTGACGGTGCTCCCGGAGCCCCCTGAGCCTAGCAAGCAGTGGCAGATGGAACAGAAAGCCTGGCACCTGCTCAGTGCCGGCGCTGACAGTCTGGCCCTCTCTACCACTCTATCATGTGGCAAATCTTAAACTTTGGTTTTGTTCAAAGGACATTTAAGTCCAAGTTTATTTTCCTACTTGAGAGAAGGTAGCAGCAAAGTTGAAAAGCTGAATCTCTTCCTATTTGAGCAGTTCCAAGTCTTCATATGGGACAAGGGGGCTGTACCGACAATGAGCAGGATGAGCTCTGAGCCCCTGCACATAGGGGCAGGGCTCTTTAGAGCCCTCCTAAAAGGGAAGAGAGAATCTCTACCTGGATGATTTGCCTGGAAAATAAAGAAATAACTAAAGCCAGGCTAGCCCTGCCACCTGGGGTGGGTGTAGACAAGCCTGGCATCATGACAAAGGCCATGGGAGAACCAGCAGGAGCTGGAGTGGTCAGTGCATTACTAATCTGTCAGGGATAAAAGGCTAGCTTGGGCATGTAGAAGCCCAGAGGCAAACCTGAGAGGCACACACACATACCTATTCAGAGGCAGATGGCAAATTCTAAGTTTGTTATAGCTAGTCTATTGAATCTCCTGAGCTCAGCCTAAACTACCACACCCTCTAAACGCTTTCATTCTTCTTCTAAGTGTGTTTCCATTCAAATCACAGCCTAGGTGTATGCATCCCTCGTCTCTGGTTGCATTGAAAACCAAAAGCCCCCTCAGGTCTAAGACACCTATCCATAAAGCAGGAAACATGGCAAGGTCTCCACCTGGATTTAAGAGCTCAGACCACGCTGGATGGTCTGATATGTCCAACCTCTCTTATGATGCTAAATTCTATTGCTGAGACCACTAGAAATAATCTCTTCTGCTCTATCAATCCTGGGATTTCACACAATATGCTATACTTCCAAAGATAATGCTCCTAACCTAACATCAGGACAAATTAAGAGATCTTTTTTTCTTAGACACAATCATGGGTTTAGGCTGTTTTACTCACTGGCTGAGGGCATACACTTGTGAGCGAGCAGGCTGATGTAGAACACTAACTAGCTGGTAAAGGGAATAAGCCAGGCTTGTGAGCAGTCCTCAAACCAACTAAGCCAGCGAGCCAGCTAGCTAGCCAGCCAGGGATGGGAGAGACAGAGAATGGAGAAGGTGACTTAGTGGAGAGTCCACTCCTGCTCTCGAATAGTGATCCTCAATGAGGTGAGAGGCAGTTTCTAAACACACTCAAAATGATCATTACTTTTGTGTTTAGCCATGAAAAACAGGAGAATAAAATTTCTACTAAGGTGGCAAAAGGGTGCTAAACACTGCTCTGAAAGAAATGCCACTGATACCCACCTTGTAGAACAGCCATACTATAAGGAAGAAGCCCTGCTCCAGGTAGGCAGCACCTGAAGCCAGCCAGCCAGCACTGTTCGTAACACATAGGGGCCCTGGACAGTTTACTCAAGTTTTGCATCTCCATCTCCTAAAAGTGGGGATTAAAATCCCTGCCTTTTTTTTTTTTTAATTTCACAAGAATGTTGAGGTTCAAATGCTTTGAAAATTGCTAATTTCTACAGAAATCCCAGGTGTTATTATAAGCAAAGAGCCCTACTCTTGTATGGTTACAGAAGAATATTAACTTTCCTACATCTTAAAGCTGATCAGAGAATTGCCACATCTCAGCACATCTACCCCAGGGAGTATATGCTACGAGAAAGGGTGTAGATGAAGTAGGTCTTTGCTGGGCAGCAAAATCACTTTGGGCAGGAGGTGAGAGAGTCTGGGACAAAGGCTGACACTATATCCTTTGTGAGTTAGTTTATCTTTGGAATTATTTTAAAGTTAAAAACCATGCAAAATGAATGCTTTTCCTAAAAGACGAGTGCTCTCTGGCTCTAACAAATATTCTCTTTACAAAAACTGCCCTCCTAATATTATTTTCTAACTGAAGCTCCCTGACTCATTTAATTTTACTGCAGTTTCCAAGTCTCTAGAATTCTCCATCCACTCCCTCCCCCACTTCCCCTGCTGCTGTTATTCCATTCTGGTGAGGAGAGAACTTTAGCCATCTGCTCATGCATTCTGACAAAAGTTAATTTGGCACATTTACTTTTACGGACTTTCTGGCCATAAAATGAACTAGCAGCAAAATGGCAGTTACCAGAGAATGTCCCAATCATAATTACTGGGAGAAACCGTGACCAGCACAGCAAGTACGCTAAGACCAAAAGCATACTGTACTCTATTCCTATATAGCAAATATTCAAGTTGTATTAAAACTAATTATTGCAGCTTTCCATGACTATATGGCCACCCAAAATCCACCTCACTACATTCTATAATTGACTTAATTTGAAAAAATGTCAAATGGAAAACTCCCTTAAATTTAAAATATGAACTTAATGTATCATATCTTACACTGGAAGTGTTTTCAGTTGGTTCAGCCCAAAGTTTCATGCCAATAAATTTCTTGGCAAAGCTGGGGAAAAGGGGTAAGGAAGAGAGCCTGGTAGTAAAATTCTGATTTTTTAGAAAAGCCTATAGTTGTGAAAACATGTCTAGTCCTGACTCCACATACAACAAGCCACCTAAGAGGAAACAAACAGCCATTTGAATGATTCACCACCGAGCCAACACAGCAGGTAGAAGAGCACGTGGAAGACCATGTTCAGTCCTCAGGCTACACCGTGCATGCCACCATCAGTTTTAGCAAAGAGATCCCTTGGCCTGGGCAGGCATCCAGAGACAGCCCAGCATCGTCCTTCAGCAACTCTTCTGGCACACACACAGCATGGCTTGAAAAGTCTTGGAGGAAGGAAGGATCTCTCATTTAATAGGTGCTAAATCTAGTCAATTTTCTGATGCTCCCTTCTTCCTGCCCCCAGTTAAAAATATTGCCCTTTAAGTTCTCCTGATTTAGTGTCTTGGAAGCACATGGTTAAGTTAGTCACCAAAGGGCAGTTAACAAGGGCATTGCCTAATTAAACAGGAAAAAGAAAAATCACTGTGATCTATGGCCCCTGGGGAAAAAAAAAGGTGGGGATCTGTGTGAGAAGCTGGTGTGCAAGGTTCTCGGAGCAGGGCTGTCCCCAGACACAGAAAGGTTGCCCAGGTGGTGCTAGTCACCACAGCCTCTGATTTCACCTCTGCAGCTGCTGTGTCACCAGCAGAGCCTAGGGATCACAACGACTACTTGGTGAGAGTTGATGCTGGAGTTGGCAGGTGCCCTGGGGCAGGCGCCATGCAAAACATGCAGGAATGGAGTCAATGAAATGTTCCTTCCCTTCAAATTCCATTTCATTTCCCTTAAAAAACAAAAACAAAAAGAGCCCATACTTTGCAAAAAGACAGAACTTGAAGTAAGACGTTAAAGATTTAAAATTTTTCCCCCTCAGAGCCAATTGTAAGTGTTTAGGGTTTTGCCCCCACCCCACTCCCTGCATTTCTTTAGTGGAAGTCCTTCTGGCTTTGACGGAAGCAGCGGAAACATAGCTGGATTCCTCACAATGGGAAATTTATTTCCCCAAGTCGGAGCCACAGGGAGTGTAAGAGGTACTGCGTTTCTATCATCCGTGCTTGGTCCCAGCTCTTTGACGAGCTATTCCAAGAGGTCCTGAGAAGACATAGACCATATTATTTAACAAACTAAAAAATTCCTATTTTGAAAGTAATTATCTCGTTTCTGGCTGAGTCTTATAGTCATTAAGTTTTTGCTTCTAGCTTATACCCTCATTTGCCTCAATCATATTTTGATCATGCATAGGAAAATAATCTTTTTTTGTACTTCTGGGTCACCCCCTCAAGAAGAAATAGTCTCACCTCATCTGAGTCATCATGATAACCACTTTTATTCCTGTGGGAGGCTGTGTCCAAGGCATCCACACCATCCACACCATTGGCCTCTGCATGTTGCTGTAGCACGGAGTACCGATGCACCAGGAACCTGTGGACAGAAACCCTGTTAACCCCAACGTGGTGAGGAGGGTGTATTTCTTACAGGACTGTGGATTTTCAGAGTTTTATCCACTCAGAGAATGAGTCACACATACAGGAAGCACAGCCCTAGTTGGCATAGGGAAAATATAAGATCTGAGAAGATCTGAGCCTGATGTTTCAGTAACATCACTTTGTTTGATAAGAACAGACAACCATGTGCCCTTGGATGACTTTCTGGTTTGACTGCAGCACCTTTGATTGACTTCCATGTTCCTTACCTTCCCCCACAGACGTATTTCTTCACGATGAGCACTCCTGCTATGACTGTGACCAGCATCAATCCCACAGTGGCCAGGATAATTGGAACAGAATTTGACTTGGAATTCTTGATAAATTAAAACACAAAAAATTTCAGGCGTGCATATTCTAGGACTGAATTCAAAGAGGCTGCTGCTTCCCCTCATTCCTCTGAGTGATCTGCAGTCTCTAGGCACTTCATGATGCTACTCTTCCAACCCCCAAATGAGCAATCTCAGGAGGATGAACCAGGAGGATATCACAATGGGCAGAGGGTCACCAGAACTTCGACAGCCTTGAAGCTGTCAGAATGGTGCAAACTCAATGGCTTCAATGTCAAAGTTACATTGGAAGCTTTGTCAACTACCTAGATCAAATGGTAATTGTGACTGTTTTCTCTACTGCTGTTTATAAGCCTGAGAGCTTTTAAGGATGGAGCAGCAAAGGGAGATGATAATAGTGGGCTGAATGAGACTAGGCCAGGGCCATTAGCTGGAAAGAAGCTATGCCAGTGCTGTATCACGCAGGCCATCATGACACCATTATTACCATAGTTCAGTTTTTCATTGTGAAAACACACTTGGCACGACTTGGCACAGAGATCCACCCTACCTATGGTCCAGTGCTCTCCCACATGTGCAAAGGTCCAGCCCTTTAAAGCCAAACTTCTTGAGCCTTTTTCCCAAATGACCCTGAGCCTCAGAAATTTCCTCTACTCTATGCTTCTAAGACTTGGAACAACTTTACAGAATACTATTTTTCCTCAACAAAAAAGTTTTCAGTAGATGAGCTTATCATTGGATTACATGACCCATCCTTCATCCTGACAGTTTCCTGTGCAAAGGGAAGCCTGGCAGGAATAGTTTGGCCACCTTGTATTCAGTGATAAAATTCCTGATGCTGTAACTGACTATTCCACGAAACCCCACTTGTACCTAATCTACATCTACTTTAAGATACCTGCTTTTCTGGACTCAAAAAGTTGCTTGTGCATTTCTTTTTCAAGTCTTTCACTTCTCGAACTGGATTCACTCCGCCTTGGCATTTGTCTCCTGGAATTTTCCGGTACCTGAAAGGCAGAGAAAATTTGTTACCAAAATACAAGGATGTATTCCTGGATTCTTGCCTATTTTCTGAAAACAAGATTTGAAAAGCTTCTCATCCCTATACCATCTTTCAGGCCTGGAGGTGGGGGGATCCACAGGGATGTTTTGGGCGTATTTTTATACCAAGCATCCCTGACCTTGCTGCAGGGACATGCCTGCCCTTCTCCTTAAGATAGGAAAGCACGTTAACACATAGTTTGTAAATGGAGGGGGAAAGATTTACCAGGGGAGGGAGGCAATGAGGCTCCGTTCTGTCTAATATGATGGCTATTTAAATTGAAATTAATAGAAATTAATTCAGTCCCTCAGTCACACTAGTGTCAACAGCCACACAAGGCTGGTGGCTACTATACTGGACACAGCAGATTACAGAACATTTCCATCATCACAGAAAGTTCTATACAGTACTTTCTAGAGTACCCTAAAACACTGCTCAGATTACTGTGTGGAGAAAAGCAGCTTTTCAATCTGAATAAGGGTGACTCATTGGTCACAAAGGAGAAATGCCGTCTCACCCATTTGTCGTCAGGTGCTCCTCTCTGCCATACAGACAAAACTCCAGGTCGTGGCCCTTCAGCTCTGGCTCTTCCACACACTTGGAGTCATTTTCTGGACGGAAGTACCCAAAATCACTGCAAAAGTCCACAAATAAAGTATCTTTTAAAGTTGCTGAAAGACAGTAACTGACTAGCAATTAAGGTTTTATGTGGGGCAGTGGATGGTTAATATTCCAGTCTTGGGTTGCTCAGGAAGGCCTGTGGCATCTATAAAGAAGGTCCATTTAGGAAAATAGACATGGAGAGGGCTAAAATGGGGGAAATAGCTATGGCTCAGGCCTAGTGAACTTAGGACTAGCAGCTGGAAGCACTGAGGTTGGGTTCCTGCACATGTCGCTCAGGTTCCAGGAAGGGAATGCCTGCAGCCTACATGGGGTTGGGGACTCACGCAACTAAGACAGAGAACCTCAAATAAAGCAAACGTTCCAAACACATCATGTTTTCAACTTCATGCCAGCCTTTCCTATCATTTCCTTAGGTCTGTCCATGACACTAGCTTCCTTCCCCCACCTGGGCCCTAGTCACTTCTTTATCGTGACTACTGTGACTTCCCCTCCTGACCTATCTTCCAGCACACCCTTCCCGATCACACCCGTCCACTGGCTCTAATGACCTGCTTCTTCCCAGATGCACAGGGTCAAATCCTGCTTGTCAGGGCTCAGCTCAAATGCCATCTCCTCAGCAAAGCCTTCTCTGACCCACCTTCTTTCGCTCTAGTTGTAGTAGTGTCTTCCCTCCCTAAATCCCTGAGGCATTTACCACCTTCTGTTTCACAACATAATTATGTGCATCTTACCCAGAGAGTCCATAACAAACTTTCCATTTCCACTTTGCACTGCCCTGTGCACAGCAAGTATTTAATGAATATTTGGGGATTATACAGATGCTGCTTATACTTCAAGGTTTTTCTGACAACTATTTAGGGGAGTGGGTAGGGAGAACTAAGATGTAGAGGACACCACTCATCCAAGAGCAGGGGAAAACTGGTAAAAATTTTAGGTATTCAACCCTAGAGTAACGTTCCCACTAACATGCACACATTTCTCAAGCACATGTGGCAGAGTGTGGGCTCTGGGTCAGGTTCATATGCCAGCTCTGCCATTTCCTGGATGAGCAATTGTGGGCAAGTCAGTCATAACCTCTCTTCCCTTTGTGAAATGGAAATGACAACAATGCCCATCTCAGGCTGCTGAGGTTAGGTGTAAACTGCTCAGGCCAGTACCTGGTATAGTTAGTGCTCAAAAAATGCCAGCTGCTATCATTACTACTACATGATCATCAACTATAACATGCCTTCAAGGAGTCTAGAGTTTAGTGGTGGAGACAAACCTACACACAATGAGTAAAACACAGTAGTGCTGTGAGAGGGGTTCCATGGGAGCCAAGATGAGGGAAAACTGGGGGAGGCTTTGAAGAGGTAATATCTGAACTAAGTACTAAAGGCTAAGCAGGAATCCGCCAGGCTTGGGGGTCAGGCAGGGAATGTGGAGACTTTCCAGGCAGATGAAGCAGCATGTGCAATGGCTCAGAGTTTTGGAGAAGCACATGTTTGAAACTGGGAGAAGCTCCAAATGAAGAGCCAGCCTATGTGCAGTCAAGGATGGGGACAGCCCCTAGAGTTTCACAGTATCAACATGCTCTAGCCCTACTGTAACACAGCTAAGTGATCTGAGTGAGATTTCCCCTGTGGAAAGAGAGAGGAGGACCCCTGGCCATTCCACAGACAGATATGAGCCACATAGAAGGACCCACACTGGGTCAGACTTGGGTTTGCTTGGTCCTGTATTCTGTCACCTGTAATTTCAGAGAATATGATATGGGAGGACATGACTGCTACCTGCCTGCCTTCTTTTCCAAATCCTTTACCTTCTATCGGCATCTTTTGCAGGTAATGAGTTCCATCAGATTACTACCTGTGATGTCAAGCAGTCCCTCTTATTTCCCCTAAGTTATCTTGCTTAGGCTACCTAGGGACTCCCTTGCCCTTGTATAATTAGCTATATGCCAACCACACAACTGATCCTTAAGCCTGGATGGTCCTGGACTATGAGAGTTCACTTTGATGGTTTCTAAGCCTTGATGGGACACAGGGACCATAAATATACTGTCACTTTGTGTCTCAGGACAGAGCCACTCTTTCTCCCTTCAGTCTTACAGATGACCCAATATCTAAGTGCCCCACCTGCTGAACTCTGGCCATAGGGCTGTTTGCTAAAATCCAAAGTGTTTTTAGCTCCTGTACCTTTCCTCAGTGTTTTTACCCTAATCCTCTCCTGGTTTTTTATTCTCTTCCTCCTTATACACCTCCCTCCTTCCTACCATTGCCAAGTCAGGATTTCTGGCGGTTGCTGCTGGTTCTGCCCAATGATTAACTGTCTGATATATTATCTGTCCAATTATTAACAACTTTGGTTCCCTTTCTCTGTGCCTCAATATCCTTAATAAGAAGCAGCAGTTTTCCGCTCTTGGGGAAGAAGGGAAAGAAAAGGACTGAAATACTTTTCGGTCCTGTAAGACAACTGTGTTCCACCTCCTCCAGCCCGGGAAAGAGGCTGACAGGGATCTGAGGGATGCTGATACCAGAGGAAGTCCTCTAGGGAGCAGAGACAGATGGACGGCTGCTTGGTCACCACATAGTCCCGACCATTCTGACACACAGATGACTTGCGTAGCCGCAGGAACTGTTCTTTATAGCCTAAAATGCAGCCATCTCCATAATCTCCAGGGTCTGTAGAGTGAGCCAGCCATATGATATAGTCCTTCTCTTCACCTAAAGAAAAGACAGGTTGTTCAGGAAACTGCATGGCACAGAACCCATCTACATGAGGCGGCTGCCACGCGACAGGAAGAACAAGGAGAGGAAGAGTGGGGGTGTCTGACTCAACTCGCAGCTTCATTTTGGAACTGCCAACCAAAGTTACATTAGTTGGAGCCTACTAGCAATGAGCAGTTCCTCACACCAAAGGAGGATTATTTGCATCTCACCGCTCACTTGACTATTAGGAAAACCCTTATTTGTTTCAAAGTGGGAAGCTAGATAGAGAGGGTCTCTATGGTTCCTTCCAGACTGAGAGGCTGCTGGCTGTATGTCTTGTGCACCTATGTCCTATGTCAGCAGGAGCTGTCAGAGGTCAGCAACCAGATGCTTTCCTTTAGGACAAGGCACCAATGAGCCAAAAGTATAGGTTCAATTTCACTATAGGTTAGTTTGCTTCAAACAGAAGGGAAAACATTCTCTTTCTAGATTTTTAACTCTAGTCGACTGGATGTCAAATGAAGATCGCTGATGACGGTTAATCTGGCTTAGTATGTTGGATCATCCACATCCGGAAAAATGACTCAAAAGCTATGTATCAGGTTTTTATCCTTTGGGGTATGAAGACCAGTACAGAGCCTGTTAAAGAGCAGGTGCTTAACAAATCTTAATGATGCTAAACTTTAGGGATAACTGGAGAGCTGCCTGCTATGGGGAAAATGCATAAGCAAGCTCCTTTACAGCCTTCTTAATGAATTTAGATAATGGTGACTCTCCAGTATTAAATCATATTTAAATATCTCATACAAAAGTAAGGTCCAAAGGAGAACTTCCTCCAGGAGTCACTGAATTAACATGTTGAGGAAATGGACCCATAATACAGTCTAATAACAGGACCAAAGTTCAGCCAACATGTCTTGAATCCCTGTCTTTTATCATATGAGGCCAACACCTAACTGGTTTTTCTTTCCATATTTTTCAGTACAGTGTCAGCATCTTTGGTACTGGGGCTTGGGTGTGCTTGTGAATCTTTAGGAATACCTTTGCAATTAACATTTTAACTCCTTTTCTAAAGCCCTTTTCTGGGCCTTTAACATGCTTTCTAATTCGAAGTCACAGAACTCTGAAACGCCCAGTGTGGGCTCCACTGGGCCTACCCAGTAGCCATTCTAGAGCCTCGCCTGCGAGTGGCAGTCAAGCCAAAACTCTTGGCATGAAAATGTCCTCACTTCAACATTTTGAGAAGTGACACAAACAATCGATTAGATGCTCTTACAACACACTTCCATCTAAAGTTTCCTCTTTATAGTTCTGCTGTAATCAGGGTGAAAAACCCTGAAATGTCATGAGATAATTTTAGAAAAACATAAGCATGCGCTAAAAAGTCTCCTAAAATATTCCAGAGACCTAACAATGCAAAGCTGTCCTCTCCTATATGACAGCCGCAGCCACATGTGGCAGGGCTGAACTGAAATTTACTGTAAGGGTAAGTGTAAGATATACACCAGTTTTTGAAGACTTAGAAGAATGAAATATTTCATTGATATTTTTTAATACTGCTTACATGTTGAAATAATATTTTGCATACATTAATTATATTAAAATTACTTTCACTTCTTTTACTTTTATACTGTAAATGACAGAATGTTTAAGTTACATTTGTAGCCCTCCTTTTATTTTTCTTGGACAGTGCTTGTCCAAAATCCTCTGCCTGATTACCCACATGGGACATCCTTCCCTCCTCTTTCATAGCATTTTCTTTTTCCAGTGAAAAATTAAACTGGATTGGTAGTTTAGAAAAATGGGCTTAACAAGTTTCTGGTAGAAAAGGTCAAAGGGAACACTCACAGTTCCTTTGAAGGATATCTTTAAAATCAATGGTATAGGAGACCCACTGGCGAGTCAGGAAAGATTCTGTGAAACCCCAGATGCTGATATTCATGGACCTGGCTCCAGGTTCTGAAGCAAGGCCGGTAAAGTAGATGGGCTCCCTGGTGAACACGTAGGTTTGCCAGCACTGACCCTCGTCTGTGGAGAACCTGAAACCCCAATCAGAGAAAGATCATGACAGAGGATCAACATTTATCGGACTATCGGGAAATCACTCTGATGTTAGGTCCCAAACCAGAGAACCACCCTCATGATGGCTTACTGACAATTATATCAATTTTTAATGCATATAGTTAACAGGGTAAGAAAAGGGATTCATTCAGAGAGTATGGAAGAAAATATCTTTATAAAAATCCTTTCAGAGGAAAGATAATGACCCATGTAAGAATGTGCTTCCAAATCAACAAACAATTTTATATGAACTTTTACTTAAGGAGTCCTTCCCGATATGGAATGCTCAGACACTTGTATAATGTTCTTGTGGAGAGAAAGATTATTTTTAAAAGTGACAAAAAGTGTTAACTAGAGGGAGTCAGAGGTAAAAGCAAGCCATTTAACCTGAGTTGCCCTAAATGCAATCCCTTTAAGAACCTTCCCTACAGCTCTGCAGAATGCACAAATTTAAATCGGGGTCTGTAACCCCGCCCCTTCCCCAGCAAACTGAAACACTTCCCACAGTTGCCCTCTATGCAGAAAGTGTGGGTGGAGCTGAGCTCATGCATACTTAATCACATTGATAGGACGGCTGCTGTGCTCAATGGCCACAATGATGCCTCCGGAATCCAAGATGGTGTAATAGTGGGGTCCTTCCAGCATCTTTGTCCAGGAGTAACCCCCATCATCTGAGATGTACACGTCCGGGATCATTACTGAGATGGCATCCCCCACGCTACCTGCAACACAACCCACCGTCTCCTCAGCACAGATGAGCAATGAAACAGAGAGGACTTACTGCCAAGAGGCTAATTTTGAGAGAATTTATTCTGATTATTCCCCATCATGACTCTTATGATAGAAAAAGGCCACTGAAAATTTGGGAAAGGGGAAAGTCACATTACTCTGACTGGAGTCTATGAAATACCCAAAGTACCATTATCATGCAAGAAATTCTACAAAGGATGGTAAAAGCCATGTTTGTTGATTTTCTTTTAGGGTGAATAAAGTCTGAGTGTCAGTGTGTTCAAGTGCTTCTTCCCGAGGGGAGGGGAGGGGAGGGGAGGGCTCCTTACCATGGGCGATGACTATGCCCACGGCATTTGGCTCTGAGAGGGGGGCCATTGGAACGTTTAGTTTCTGGGAGATGCTGTAGGAAGCGTGAATATGAAGGCTGCACTGTGAAAAGAAACCAAAGCTTAGATTAAAACCCAAGGCGTAATTTTTTACTCATCTCACCAGCCTTCTAATAAACCTAACCCACACCTCAGTGGGATACTCTTTAAAAAAAAAATTATGATAAATACACATAGCATAAAAATGACCATCTTAACCATTTTTCAGTGTATAGTTCAATAGTGTTACGTAATTCACACTGTTGTGCAATCATCACCACCATCCTCCTCAGGAAATTTTCGTCTTGCAAAAGTGAAACTCTGTGCCCATTAACAGTAACTCCCCATTCCCAACTCCCCACCCATCCTGGCAACCACCATTCTACTTCCTCTCCCTGTGAATCTGACTACTCTAGGTACCTCATGTAAATGAAACCACAGCGTATTTGTCTTTTTGTGACTGGCTCATTTCACTTAGCATAATGTCCTTAAGGTTCATCCATGTTGTAGCATGTGTAAGAATTTCCTCCTTTTTAAGGCTAATATTCCACTGTATGTATATACCACATTTTGTTTACCCAGTCATAGGTCATGCACACCTGGATTGTGTCCACCTTTTGTCTATTGTAAAACTGCTATGAACATGAGTGTGCAAATATCTCTTTGAGACCCGCTGTTCAATTCTTTTGGATATAAATCCAGGGGTGGAATTGTTGGATCATATGGTAGTTCTATGTTTAATTTTTTGAGGCACCTCCATACTATTTTCTATCACAGCTGTATCGTATTTCATTCCCATCAACAGTGAACAAGAGTTCCAATTTCTCTATATCCTCGCCAACACTTCTTTACTTTTTTCAGAGTAACCACCTTAATGGGTGTACAGTGATCTCTTGTGGTTTTGACTTGCATTTCCCTAATAATCAGTGATATTGAAAATCTTTTCGTGTGCTTATGGCCACCTGTATATTTTCTTTTAAGAAATGTCTATTCAAGTCCTTTGCTCATTTTTAATTCAGGTTGTTTTTTGTTTTTGAGTTATAGGCTCAGTGGGAAATTCTTGATTCTGGAATGCATTAGTATATTTGGGAGCAATTATGCAATTATTTTCTCATGCGTAATCTTATTTTATTCCTGCATTACACCAAAGCCTGTGGTCAATATCTGAAGTATGATTCCGCACAAATGAACCTGGTGAAACCTGACGTATTTCTGATACTGGACATGGTGTGGTCTCATTAAAATGAGACCCAGTCCTGGTTTTTTGTTTTGTTTTAATCCTCACCCAAGTATATGTTTAGAGAGAGAAAGGGGGGCAGGGGGGGAGAGAGAAACATCGATTAGTTGCCTCCAGTAGGAACCCCAATAGGGAATTGAACCCACAGCCAACTGAGCCACCTGGCCAAGACCCAGTCCTGTCATTAAGCAATATTTCTCTGAAGCTAGATGAGGTATAAAGCAGAATGAAAGTTAGCACTTTTAAAGTTTCAAATTGATTAAAATGTAAATTTTTGTGTCATGTATGTTTTACTGCAAAAAAAAAAAAGAGGTTCAAGTAAACTATTAATGAAATGAAGAGCAACGATTAGTTCTAACTGAAGATGGGCGGTGAAGGTGGTTAGGCTTTCCACAAATTCTAATGAACTGGGGTGGGGGAGATAGGCGCAGCCTCCCCAGAAACAATGCCAGCAGGGGCACATTTGGGGTGTGGACGGAGCAGCAGAGGATGGCAACAAGGGGCATGTCAGTGATAAAATAGGCAGTGACACTGAAAGGGCAGAAGAAAGCCTGCCAGGGGAGGAGAGGACCAGTTACCAGGTCGAAGCCTCTATTCACAGGCAAAGGGGAGCCAGGATATTGTTGAGGAGGGAGAGGTGTGGGAGTGTGAGGGCCAGGCAAGCAGAGGCCACTGTACAGCCCAGGCTGAAGGTAAGGAGGCAGCCGCAGGGCAGGGGCATGCAGGGAGATGGGGAAAAGGGAGAAGGGACAGACTCGATAGCACTGATGAGTACGGAGAAGGGGGAGAGTGTTGGGGTGGGGAAGGTACATGCAATATCACACTGCATGAGGCTCTGAAAACAAAGCCGAAAACCCAGCTTAGAACAGCGGACTGCATGTCAGCCACAGGTATTTGGAGGAGCTCAGAACTACCAACACTGTCAGTTTTGAAAGAAAACTCTCTGAGTGCTTCCCTAAGCTTCTCTCAAATTCTGAAAGAGCCAGACGCAAATCTTATTTTTCTTTCCTTTTCTCTTGCCTGTCAAGATCTGTCACTCCTGGAATCTGGGGTGTCCTGGAGCAACACCTTTGGGGTCAGCGTCTGCTTTCACATGTACTGCCGGGTCACCACCCATACCACCAGCTATGTGGCACCCAGGCAGAGGCGAAGATAAGGCCAAGTTCTCCTCTCTCATTTCTGGCCAGCACGGCTTTGCACTGCTCATGAATGGCTAGCTGGCCTATGGCTTTTGTAGAATTGCTAATGTCTCATAGCTGCTATGCTCACTCCTAACTAATCCCCAACCCATCTGTCCATTCTGTTTCCATTCAGCAGTTTAGCAAAACACAAACTGTTAGCCCCCAGTTTTGTTTTTCTTTAGAAGACAAACAATCCGTAGTATTTTGGCCTTTCTTTGCAGGTCCTAGTTCCTACATTCTAGGTTAATTTCATTACTCTCATTTCCAAACTTTCCACCTTTACCTGTGGGCCCTAATCAGGTATGAAACTTCATTATTCAAAGAGCAGAACAGAGTGGCTGCTTTGCTCCAAATACATGTGACAACTGAAGTAAAACAAACCTCGTTCTTATTTTTTGCTGTAGCATCACATTCACTTTTCTCAGGCTTCCTCAGATGCTTCCACCTTCCTCCTTGGTCAAACGTGATCATAGTCTGGATAGAGTTATCTGCATGGGAAGAGAATGGTATTAAGCCTGACACACTGGAAGAACCCAATTAAGTCCAGTTTCTCATTGCAGAACTTGCTCCTAACTGAGACCATACAGCTCCATTACAACCCTGGAGTCCCATAAGCTTGTAACACTCAACATTATGGCTCAGTGTTAGTGAGTAACAGAGCAGCACTCTAAATATGGTATCTGAAGAAGGCTTCCCACCTGAACAGGACCCAATGGATTCCAGAAATCATCTAGACGGACACTCTTGAAAAAAGATACCTTTTATCAATCAGTTTCCTCCTTACCAACACAAACAGGCTGATGTCCACTCTCCTTCCCCGTTAGTTTGCCTTGAAGTAAGCTCTACAATGGGAAGGCATCCTGTCTTAACTTTATAGGCAAGGCCATGATACTGGGCTTGTTTTAGGGAATCTCAGGATTCAAATGTGTATGCACAAGTCTGAATTAATAGTTCCTAATTTTTGTCTCTCCATTACCTCATATCCTATCCCTCTTACATCTTTTTTTCCCCATGTCTCTTCCCCATTCTCTGTTTTCAATGATATAAACTGTTATAGGTTTAAATTCGGAGATAATATGCTTTGAGTGTTCCAAGGAATATAAAACAAGAAAGGAAATCAAAGCAAATTCACTTACTCAATAAATATATGTTTTTAAATCCTCACCCAAGGATATGTTTCTACTGAATTTTTTTTTTTTTTTTTTAAGAGAGAGGGGAAGGGAGGGGGAGAGAGAGAAAGCATCAATGTGAGAGAGAAACATCAATCAGTTGCCTCTCATACGTGCCCCGACCAGGGATCGAACCCACAACCCAGGTATATGCCCTGACCAGGAATTGAACCCACAATTTTTTGGTGCAGGGGAGGATGCTCTAACCGAGCTACACCTGCTAATAAATATTTTTGTGTGCCCACTATGTGAAAACTTGTAAGCCTTTGAGAATATATCAGTGAACAAACCTGAAAAAAACCTTTGTGAAATATATATTCTAGTAAGGTGGGACAAACACTAGATGTAGTAAACAGGTAAATTACATAGTATGTTAGAAAATAAGTGCTACGGAAAAAACCTGCATAGCTAAAGGGGGACGGACTGTGTGTGTGTTAGTGGAGGAAGGCAGACTGAAATTTAAAATATGATAGTCAAGGCGAGTCTCATTCAGAAAGTAAATGAGCAAAGACTGGAAGGAGGAAGGTGTCAGCCCTGCAAATATCTGGGAAAACAAAGAACAGTCAGTGCAAATCTCCAAACGAGTGTGTGAACTGGGTGGGCTTAAGGGGATTGGCACAGAACTTGAGAGCTGGAGTGACTAGAATAGAGGGAGAGAGGAGAGAAGAGTGGGAGGTGAGGTCAGGGAGAAAATAGAGGCCAACATCACTTGACCTTGCAAACCATTGCGAGGTCTTTACAAGAACGAACACCCTCTCCCCACCTCCTATCAAAAACTAAATATATAAAATCGTAAGAGTCTCCTTGGGGCAGCGAGTCTCTGTACTCTAGAGTAATGTGTTTACTTGTATAGGTGAGCTTTGGTAAAGGTGAGCACTGCAGAACCGCTGAGCAGAATGCAAGAGGAAGCTTGGCTGGCTACTGCTGTGCCCTCTATCTTTCTTAGTTCTATTTACCATCACTTGCTTAACGTAGAGCCCGAATTTACATAGGTAGGCTGCTGGCTAGGTAAGCAATGTTACTGGGGGAAAGGGCCACCAGTCTCCCCAAAAGCCTCACTCCCAACATGTTCAGCTGAAGGAGAGCTGTGCCAATACTCACCCTCAGAGAGCACACTTGTTATGTAGACCCCGCGGAGGGAGGTCACATTGGTAAAGTCTGTCTCACCACCGGTCGTGGTATAAAGATGTCGGTCCAAGGACTTGGAATAGACAATGCCTCTATCGTCCGAGGTAAAGATAGTGCCAAACCCGGTATCTGAAATAGGCAAACAAACAAAAACACTGAGTCTTGGGAGGGAACAGAGAGGCAACAAATGTCTAACCATACACATGACTGAATGACTGCACATTAGCCATCCATCTCTCTTCATGATGTAGATGCAGACCTGAGATTCAATCAAGATTTGATGCTCAAGATCTTCATGTCCATCTTTAATTCCAGTACCCATGATACTTAGTGCCTAGAGTATGGTAGACTTTGTTAAGTGAATTAACCAGATGCTACAGAAAAGCTCTTCCTAGATATATTGTGGTGGCAGAGGAACTGTGTTTAGATTCGTACTTTACACATCTCTAAATCTTTACACTCTGAAACAATGCTTCTCAAACTGTGACAAAGGATCAATTTTTGAATTTCCACTATGACACAAACCACTGCTTTTGTAAAATATAATAAAAATTAATCACTAGAACAATGAAATACAAAAGACAAAATATATCCATCAACTCTTTTATCATTAGATTCAACAGATATAAAATTACTTTATCAAGTGGCTTTAAGAGTTTCTAAATGCTTGCTCTCATTTCCTATACTTATTTGCTAACAGTTTGCAAATCAGCACGTCCTCTGAGAATTCTTTGAGCAACACTGTTCTAGAACACTTGGATATGCACACAAACCACACAATGTCAAAACAAGTGGCCTTTTTAACAGAGGTTACATATTCTAAGACAGACTATTCAGTAGGGCACTAATAAATTCCTAGGAGTAAGAGGAAAATCGACATGTAAGAATGAAAGCTACTAAAAGTAGGGCTTATAGCTTCAATCTATGAATTCAAGGGCGGGCCACTGATTTGCTCTTACCTCCAGGCTCATCTACATGCATGAACACCATGTCATCATTGGCTGCTAGAATAGAGTAGAACTGTTCCTGCCCCACAGAGGGGAGCTGGGCCATGCTCCACGTGTCCCCTTGATCAGTTGACACATGAATCCTTCTTGTTGTATCCTGGAACAAATGCCAACATTTATCTTTTTAATTTCCTGCTAGGGTGTCATGTGCAGGGACATACTAGATACGTGATTATTAATAATTATAAGTATCATTATCCATTTCCTCACTGGATACAACTGTTATAAATGAAATGTCCCAACTACCTAGTAATTTCTAACCTCTAGCAAAGTTCCAGGCAATGGGATAATCCATTCTATTATAAGCAAAGCTATCCTGGCTTCCTCTCTGTCTTCTTCATTCTGGTGCGTCCTGTGAGATATTATCCTCCTAACCTCCGACATTCCAGTTTCCTTCAATAGAGCTAAGGGTGTGATGGGACCATCACTGGTTTGGCTTTACAGCCACTCACATATGCGTGCTCAGATAATTCTTAAATGGTAATTGCTACATAAAGGTCTGGTCCCTTTGAGACAGTCCTGGCATAATACAAAGAATTAGATAACTAAAGGTCTAGAAGATAGAGATGAAACCCATGCTTGGGAGATGACAAGGGAAGTCAAGCTGTGACACATCTCTTTAAGGAAGTCTCTCAGAACAGCCATAAGTGCACAGGCTGGGAAGAGGCCAAGCAGCATCAGAAATTAATAAAAGGAAGCTGATCAGGGTTTAGCTGTTAAAAGGAGTCTATTCAGGATGCAATTAACACCTACTTTCTGATAAATAGTTTAGAATAGCTACTAGATGCAAATTAGCCAGGGCATGAGACTGAATCCCAGGGCCTCCTTATGTTAAACACTCTTTAAATTTCAGTGACAAGTGCATTTTACTTATTTTTCTAAAACTTATATCGAGATGTTCACTTTGAATCTTACTCTCGTTGTTATAGGTAGAAGTTAGAGTTCAAAAGCACATAGTGGACTTTTAGTTTTGTAGACAGTCACAGTACAGTGCAGGAGGCTACCTCTGGAATCAGACAGTCTGATTTTCACCAGGGTTCAAGTTACTCAGTTTCCTCAAATAGAAATCGAAGGAACAGTATTTGCTTATAGGGCTGTTAGGAGGATTATTACAAAATTGCTCGAGGGAGTTACTGCAGTTACTGTGTCTGCTCACCCAGCTCCAATTCTCTCCAAGCCCACTAATCAGTCTTTCAACCTCAGTCCTGCAATGAAACTGCTGTAGTCAAGCTCACCAACAACCTCCACTTTGACAACAGTGGCTAATTCTCAGCACTCATCTAACGCAACATCTCAGCTGAGTTTAGTACATTTGGTCCTTCTTGAAATACCTTTTTCACTTGTTTTTCATGATCTCACACTGTCCTATTTGCCCTGCCCACTGGTCCCGCCCTCCCAGTCTTCTTCCCTGGGTTCTCCATCTCTTTCCAACCTTTCAGTGGTGGGCGCTTCAGGGTGTGCTCAGTCCTCCCACCTCTTCTCTACCTACTCAATCCTACAGGAAGATATCTAGTCACGTGGCTCTAAACACCATATGATTTGGGGAGAACCCTATACCCAAATGCTTACTTGACATTTCCACTTAGATATCTGATAGGCATCTCATATCCAAACTGAATTCTTCATCATCCTTCCCCAAATCCACTTCTCCTACAGTCTTTGCCATCATAGTAAATAGCACCACCATTCATCCCGCTGCTCAGGCCAAAGTCTCTAAAGTTATCCTTGGTTCCTCTCATTCTCTCACAATCCACATTAATTCATCAACAAACCCTATTGGCAATACATTGAAAAATATATCCACCATTTAACCACTTCTCCCCTCTTCCACTTCTCACTCTACTCTGACAACCTCTCAGCTGCTCTGGCTGCTTCCATGCCTGTGCTGGCAGGCCATTCTTTGCACACTTATTCTGTCAGATTACCGCACCCTGCTCACAACCCTTTCGCAGCTTCCCAACACAGTAAGAATAAAAGCCAAGGTCTTAATCACAACCTATAAAGGCCCTGGAGAATCTGGCCGCTAGCTCCCCCTTTGGATTGCCCTTCTCTGGGTCCCAGCCACACTACCATTCTCACTTCCTTCAATATATCAAGCATGCTCCAGCCTGAGGTCTTTGCACGTACTGTTTCCTCAGCCTAGACACAGCTATGCTCTGTCCTCAGTCAGGTCTGAGAGAGCAAGTCCAAACCAACCACCTGAAACAGCCCTGCTCCAATTCCTGTCACTTCCTATTTCCTTATACTGCTTTAGATTTCTTCATAGTTTTAATCATTACTTGACATCACATCATATTTCTTAGTTTAGTATGTATCTCCCCTACTTAACTAATAAGCTCTGAGAACAGACCATTTATCTGTTTTTGTCACTGCTAGGTACCTGTTTCTATTATTATTACTGGACAATGAACAATGGATTGCTCTTTTCAGAGATGCATGTTTGAGTGAAGCCCAGACACTGGGTCTACACTTCCCAAAACAGACACCAGAATCCATGGGGTAGGATAGGCTGAAGCACAGAATAGCCGAGAAGAGGCAATCAGTCTCTATAAAAAGAATCACCCCAAATCCTACAGTGATATTAAATATTGCAAAAAGGCAAGCAACTCTGTCAGTACAAGCAGTAGAAGGGATCTACTGGAGGCATATTTACAGAAATATTAGAATTCAAAGAGAAGAGAAGAGAAGAGAAGAGAAGAGAAGAGAAGAGAAGAGAAGAGAAGAGAAGAGAAGAGAAGAGAAGAGAGAAGAGAAAAGAGGCAAACACTCACCTTGTCAGCCATCACCGAGGCAAAAAGGAAACGTCCCCCAAGACCGAATGAGTAGATTTTCGCACCAATGGTTTTGAAGCTTTTCCCCAAGTCTGAAGTTCTCCATAACTCCAGTGCCCCAAGGTCAGCTTCTTAAACAATACAAAATATTAATTAAAATTTTACTTCCTGGTGAGCCTCTAGTTCAAACAACTGTTTTAGAACTGCTCTTAATTTTATAGCTACAGGATTTTTAATCCTATGCATGTTAACCAAGCAAATATAAACTGATGTGTATTAGAGATAGGGAATTCACATGTGGGTTTTATTTTTATACGTGAGAGATTTTACATTGGGCAGAAAGATGGAGTTTACTTAATTCCAATACAGTGTTGCATAAAAACATCATAACCACAGCATCCTGTTTATGGACTTCATGGCACCATTTGAAATTATCTTAGTCTATTTTAAGTTGCTTGAGTTTGGGTTTTCTTGTTGGTCACCCATCATCCTTACTTGAATTCAGCTCCATGAGAGCAGGCCTTGGGTCTCTTGTTATCTCCATCCTTAGCTAGTGTTTAGCACACTACTGCAGGTGCTCAAATGAATAAATGAATGAATTTGTTGAATAAATTAGTAAACAATTATGCTTTCTGCTTTGAAACTGTCACTGATGGGAAAGCCACTGGCTTCCACTGACAAACACAATCCATACTCTTCTGCAGAAATCACTAGGCATTTCAATCTGTTATTGTTTGTAGCTTAATGTTTACTTTATGTAAATACACTGCTGAAATTAAGTACAGTGTCTCTGTGTACAGCCTACATTTTTATTTGACCTAAGGCACAGTATAATAATTTGGTTATACTTTCAAGATTTTAAAAATCAATAATAGCTATTTTCAGCTATTAAAATTATAGAAGAATGGAGGGATCTTTGATGTTTCTACCTCTTATGACTCAGAATATTCTACCATGAATGGACAGGACATTCTTCTGGGACTAAAATATACTTACTGCAGGAGCCATTCACATAGGTAGTAAAAAAGATGGTGTTTTCTGCTCCCCTACAATGAAGCAAAGACAGGAAAAAGACATAGTTCAGGATGTTAATGGGCTGTGTGGATCTTAATCACAAAACTCCAAGGAAGTCTAATAAGCCTCCTCCACAGGTACTAGCCAAAGCAACTTCCTCGGATGCTGTACAGGGATTCTTTCACAGCTCCCTGGCCCCAGGCATTTGCCACAGTCCACTACACTTCTTTGTGTCAGCTCTTCTAGCTGGTCAAACTGGTCTACTTACACTCTCCACATCTATCTCCTGCATTTCCTCATACTGTTTCCTTCTTAAAATGCTCTTCTCTTGTGTAACCAAATCTTACCCTCACAGTCTTCAGGCTGCAGCTTACAATCTAGCTCTTCCACAAAGCTTTCCCTGGCACTCCACCTAGAAAGCTTCTTTGCTACAAACTTCTACAGCAGTGGTTCTCGACCAGGGGTGATTTTGCTCCCCAAGGGACATTTCTGGTTGTCACAACTGGGAGAAGGGAAGTTGTTACTAGTACCTAGTACCCAGTGGAGGCCAGAGATGCTGCTAAACATCTTGCAATGCACAGGACCCCCGCCCCCAACAAAGAACTATCCAGACCAAAGTGTTATCAGTGCTGAGGTGGAGAAACTCTGTTGGAGAGCACTGTGCCATTCTGTATCAGCCACCTGGCACTCCTTTGTCACCCACTGAGTTATTTTAATCACATAATGGATGCCTTATCTCTTTGACTACACTGTTCAGTTCTTCAGGGCAGGTACTAAGTTTATGCTTTGTTGTTTCCCCTCAGAACCTAGTTTGATGCTTTGCATGAGCTAAATAATTTAGTTCTTTCATCTCAAATAGACAACTGGGTCAGAGATTGAATTACTTAAATTCTAAGTTGGAAAAGGAGTTCACAGGGAGCTTGATTCAAACCCTGATAATACTTATACAGTAGCCCAGGCAAAAGGTGCTGGCTCTGAGCATGTTCTTTCAGAACTTTAGGTTGTCAGTTCCTAGAAATCAAAGATCCAAAGGTGCGTAAACAGTCACCAGCAACCCAGTTAGCTTATATTTAGACACTAATCAAAGAAACGAGTTACAAAAGTAAAAAAGCTTGTATGGAATATAAAATGAAATACCATTTAAAAAAAACTTTTTAGTTTTAAAGATGACTTTTCTATTTGTTTCTTTTAGCTTTATTGAGGTGGTATAACTGACGAATGAAATTGTAAGAATTTAAAGTGTACATTGTGGTGATGTATACGTAAAGATCCATTTTAATGATCACAATAACTATAGTCTTACTTGACTACATCCTACAGTGAAATGATTCGTTAATAACTTACTTTAAAAAAACTTCCCTCCTGAAAAGACCACATAAGGTACAAACACATCATTCAAACCCATAAAATAAAAGCAAATATGGCATGTGTCTACATTACAGATTTCCCTGACTCCCTCAGTGAAAGACATTAAATACTAAATTCTTCCTTGGGATTGTGGGTCACTGAACATCAACTATATGAAACTATAACACACTGTGCCCATTAGAAGTTACTGAGGTATGTGTGCACTCTTAATCTAGCGCTAAATAATTTCGTCCTGTTATGTTCCCTCAGTCTTTGCCTGCTCTGACAGTTCCCCTGGCATGGGCTTGTCAGCACTCATGTACCCCGCACCTCTGGCAGCAATCTGCTATTAACTGGGAATCCAGATGAACAAATTTGCTGAAATTAGTCAAAGAGAAAGAACAAAGAAGCTCTAAGCAAGGGTTTGAGCCTAATCAGAATTTTGGAGGTATGATGTCTCTTAATTCAATTCTTGCTCAACCATCCCTCAAATTCCTCAAACAAATCTCTGTTCATAGGCAGAAGGAAAAAAACTAAAGCCCAGAGATGTTAAGCCACTACTAGCAGCAGAGTCAGGTAGGACAAAGGTGACCTGACTCCCTAGTAAGAGCCCCTCCACAACACCTTTAAGCAGGCACCTGGTGGGAGTGTCCCGAGAGAAGTGAATGAGTTCCATCTAATGGACAGTGTGACCCTGGCAACCTGGAAGCTCTGGGCCTTCTCCCTGATTCCTCACCTCATTCCTCATAATTGAACTGGATCTCTAGGTGAGGGGGTGTAAGTCTGGGGGCAAAGCTGTATTTTATGCTCTTCCAGCTGATATCACCATTTATGGAGAATAAACCTTTTACGTGCAGCAGCTACTCAGTCTTGAGCCTTGTTTTCTACTTTATATTCTAAAGTTTAGTGAGACTAAGTCCTCTTTCCTGGCAGATTAGAGGCCCCCCCAGGTCAAGGCCTGTGTCATACCCCTCTCTCGTATCCCTTGTGGCACCCTGAAGAGTACTTGGCACACAGTAAGTGCTCAAAATTTATTCATGTGACTTTTGGCAGCACTGTCAGGAAAGGTTTAGGGCTCTGCACAGATGGAGTCTTCTGTTACTCACCATTTGGCCAAACATACTGCTTTGTGGATTTCTTCCCATTTTCCCCCAAAATTCTTGGACACCCACAGGCCATTCTGAAAGATTATAAATGACTTATCAAAATTCCGGCTTTATCCTGTGCAGCTGCTTGTATGACCTTTAATAATTTATATCTAATCATTAGGGACAGTAAACACACATGAAGTTCCATCTGAGCTCCAGAGACACACACATGGTTTACAGGGGCCCCTTCAGAGGCTGGGAAGTTGTGAATAACAAATGCTTATGAAGTTTTTCTACTATGTGCCAGGCATTGTACCAGACATTGCACTGGGGATACAAAGATGAATAAGACACACTCCCTCCTCTCAAGGAGCTCACAGTTAACAAGGGGCCCAGATAAGAAAGTGCGATAAGATGGGGTAGGTGTTATGGAAACACACTCTGGGGTAAGGACAGGGAAAAGAGAGACCATGCATCAGAGATGGTTTGTGAGGAAGACAGTTGAATTGAGTCTTAAGTGATGAGCAGTGTAACCAAAAGAAGGCAGGTGGGGAGATGAGATGTCAGGGCACAAAGATAGTCTAGGACTAGCACAGGCAGAGAGGTGACAGACATGGTGGTGTGTGCAGGGAGCTCAAAGCTTCAGACACTGCTAGAGCACACAATTCATGGTGAGGGAAGGAGCAGCTAATGCAGGGAGAAGGGGAGCTGGGATACTCGGATGACAATGGGAAAGACGGACGGCACAGCATCTAAACCAGAGGCAGGAAAAGCACTGCCTTCATTTAGTTAGTGGTCCTAAGCCACGGCTGTGAGGGATAGGCTCAGGAAGAATTGAGAAGTTGGGTTCAGTAGAACTGGACTTTTCCTGTAGGGCAGGATGGGATGTGTATGTTGGGGAGCAGTCGATCACACTGGGATTCTGGCTGAGGGATGAGAGGCACTGTGGAATCTTGAACCAGTACGAGGATTAAGAGAAGGAGGGTACATCTGAGAGGAATGCAGAAAGAAGGCAGTTTAGATTGAGTCTGACGTGCCTACGGGACATCCAGGTAGACATGCCCAGGGGGCAGCAAGACAGGAATCAGAAGCCTCAGGAGGAAGCCAGGACCAGAGACAGGGTCTTGAGAGTCTCATGCATCACATTGATGGTTAAAATGGTATGAGTGGGGGAGATTGCTAAGTGGAATGGGCAGTAGTGATTTAGGGGTAGGTTGAAAGGAGTTGAAGAAAGAGACCAAGAAGGAATGGTCAGAAGATAGGAAAGAACTAAAGGGAATGATGTCACCAAAGCCAAGCAAGCAGAGCTCCCAAAAGAAGGGATTGGCTGAACCTTTCAAATGCAGCAGAGACAGTGAGATGAAGACTGACAGTGTCAGTTGCACTGAGCCCAGATTCAGTGGAGGGGGGCAGAGGTATCCTGGTACAGCTGGAATTAAATGGGGCTGCTACAGGTGCAATTTCCCTTCAGTGCTCCCTGCCCACCATTCTTTTTTCTTTTAATTTTCCTCCTCTGGGAATGTTCACCTCCCAGCATTTCCAATTTACCTAACTCTACTTAGAAACGGGAAAGGGTCTGATAGCACCTATTTGCACTTTAGTACACACTGGCCCATCTTCTCCACCCTGATTTTCGTACTTTAAACTGACCCTTAATTGGAAGAAATTTCAGGTGTAAAAGCAGGCTGCGCTCATCTCTTGCTGAGCATAGCCTATAGCCTGTTTTAACCACCTGAAAATAACATCGTAATGGGGTGGTCAAAGGGGATATCAATGGTTCTGTCCATTCCCAAGGGGTCTCTGCTCCCTGAAGGGCTTTCAACTTAAGCTGCTAGAAGGAATTTCCAGGAATTGTTTCTTGAAGCTCTAAAGCCTATCCAGCAGGCTAGTTTCCTTCCTCTGACTTCCTTGAGCTAAGCTTAACTCTGACCTTCCTTGAGCCCCCCCAGCCTTACCTCTAAGATCTGCCTACCGAGGCCCAGAACCCAGCAATGGCTCTCAAATTTTGGTGCGCAGGCTCGGCTGGGGAGCTTGTTAAAAACAATAGCCACCTCGCCACCAAAAGTCACTGATGTACTGTACCTGGGCTGGGGCCTAGGAATCTGCATCTTAAACCAGCCTCCCGGGGGTTCTAACTGATGTTGTTGGTCAGTAGACCACACTCTAAGAAATAAGATGAGAGACAGCCATATAAATATGAAGTGTAATTGTGATTATCATAGTCTAACCACTCAGCCACTGTGGGCCCTTAACATCCACGATAAAGGAGACTGGTTCTCAGGAAGGGAAAGCTGAGTGTGCTCCTCAGGGAATTTCACAAGGGGGGGCGGGACACTGGTTTCTGGGAAGAGTACAAGACTGTTGTAGGGGTACAGGAATTTCAGACTCTGGACACTTAATACATGAGTGTTGAAGACAGAAATCAATATGCTTGATATATTATGCAACAAAAAAGAAAAATTAGAAAGATGTGGTTTGGCCACAGGAAAGTAGCAGTATCAGGACTGTGACAATCCATGCTTATCCCTTGCAGAACAAGAATGATTAAACTGTTTCCTAGTTCATTTTTCCAACAGCACATGTCTAGTCACTTTAAAAGACTATAATGACAACTAGGTATCATACTTATATGGAATAGACAGAACATGGAAATCGTGCCTTTTACCAAATAGGAAGAAAACACCAAAAATGCATACTTCATGCCACTAGAAAGCAGTCCAATACTGTATAAAAGTATTGCCCACGGGTCCTTTTAAGACAGTATATCCTGAGGATACAAATGCAGAAGGCAAGACAAGTTCTTCAACGAGACTTACTTCAGTGCTGAGGGCTAAAAGATAGTCAGAATTCTGAGGGCTGTACATCATCTGAGTCAGAGGATGAAATGGGAGATTGGTCTGAACAAAGTTCTTTGCAAAATCTGATGATCTGAAGATTCTTCCTCCGCGACTTCCTCCAGACACCTCCGCTGTTAAAATCACCTGGTTTGGAAGAAGCAAGTTCAGATTCAGGGTGCAACACTATGAAAGCACAGGAAGCCCTGCACCATTTCTACAAGACATCAGTTAAGAACACTGTAGTTCCAAAAGTAAGAAGAATTACAAAAACAGATTAGCTGGTGCACCCCACTCCTCAAGTATTAGTCTTATCACAAAATATGACCCTGAATTGAGCTAGTGCATCATACCTATGAATTTGAGCCGACATCAGCCAGTTTCCCAAAGACTAAAATGTCTGCCTTAAGGAGTATACATTGTAATGCTAACCAACTGCCACCTGAAAAATTTGGGTGCATCTTGGACAGGGGCCAAAAAAGAACCTGTGTGTTGAATCCCATTCTTTTGTGAACAGTATTAAATTGTGTTTAACTTTAAAGCACAGTAATAGTGAACTAAATATACTGCTGTGTATCACTGGATCATTCCAGTATTACCACCTAACAGCCCACATGTGGTATCAAGCACAGCTCCCTACATGCACAAATGAGTCTCACCTTTCCAGAGTTCTCAGGACCAATAGCCATGCCAAATTCAGTCCGAATGAAGGTGTTATTGATGAGATTTGTAATATCCTTAAAGTTCTTTCCATAGTCCTCACTGAGAGAAAGAAAAATAAAGACAAATTTAGAATGCAGTGGTTGTGGACACTGTTGGTTCCTACCCAGCTTCCACCACCCCGCCCCTCACTGACTTCATTGAGGCATCACCCGCCCTTGACGAGTTACATGCCTCAGGGGAGCTGATTCCATCCCTAGCTCCAGTGGTGGACTTGATTAGTCTGAAGGAAATTCCACAAGTGCTGGGGTCATGAAGGGGGGAGTGACCCAGATTTAGGCAGTGAGACAAAGGGGGAAATTTGGGATCTATTAGGAAACAGACTTCCTCACACTTCAGACAGTCACCTGATGAAATAAGTGTTCTATCTTTCTTTAGACCAGTGGCTCTCAACCATGATATTTTTGCACACAAACCTTCCAAGCAACCATTTGGTAATGTCTGGAGACATTTTTGATTATCACAACTCAGGGCTGAGATGCTAGTGGTATCTCATGGGTAGAGGCCAAGGATGCCACTAAACATCCTACAATGCACAGGACAGTTCCACAACAACAAAGAATTATCTGGCCCCAAATGTCCATAGTGCTCGGATTGAGAATCCCCAGCACTGTAGTATGTTAATGTAAAGCAAAAGGTTGCTATAGTCATCCTCACACCATGAGCACAACTTGAAGATGAAGTTAACATAAGTGGAGTGTACTGTGAAGGCAATTCTGGAATCTAGAGAAACAGCACCCACGACACTGGGTTGAACTGACCCTGAAGCCTGTCCATCCTCTGTATTTAGTTATAAGCCATTAATTCCCTTACTATTTATGCTAGTTTGAGTTGGGATCTCTGCTAAGTGTAGCTAAAGGCCTCCTAATCTATTAATACAGAGTACTCATGATAAAGCTAAGTTAAGTAGCAGGAGCCTTAAAGTTTCCCCCCCCCCCAAGGGTTATCATCCCAGGGCATAAGTCTCTAATGCTCACAGCACATGAAACACAGCTGGGGAAACAAACTTAACCCCAGCTCTCACATTGTTAGAGATTTTCCCAGGAGTTCATTTCAACAATATCTTTGAGAGGTATTCAATTCCATGTTTAGATTTTGAAAAATACAAGCAAAAAAATCAGTAGCTAATTCTCTTAAAAAGTGATATGGAAAACAAAAAAGTGATACAGAATGTGAAATCTTAATATTCATTTAAATTATATTTTAATGTCTATCAGAGACCACTGTGTATTGCGAGTTAGTTGCCAATGATAACGTAACGTGTAGTGGTCTTCACTGACAGACTATGACTTAAAAGATGGTACAATTTGGCAGCAGTCTCGACAAATAATCACAGAACCAGAGAACATGAGAAATGCAAGGGACTGAAGGGAACATCGTGTCCAACTCCCTCATTTCACAGACCAGGAGGTTCAAGGGGAGGCAATTTATCAAAAGCCAACCAGTTAATTAAGGGCGAAATTGAAACTACAATGCAACTCTCTTAACTCTCAGCCCCAAAGTAGAGACAACTTTTATTGATTTGTGAGGAATTTTTCCCTTACAAACTGCAGTCTTCCTCTATTTTGCCAGGGCTTGTGGCCTGGCAGCAAAGATCAGCTAAGAGGAAACGAGACACAGGAGGAAATTATCTTGGAGTGTTTGTTTAGGTCCTGGACAGTATACTAAAGCAAACTACATGTGACTTTAAGTTGTCTGAATAACTTCTCATCTCTTAACACACACACACACAGAAAATTCCTAGATAAATAAAAGAGGGATCAGGCACCATCCAACAAATTCCTATATTGCCCCCCACCCTTTTCTGGCTTTGAAGTACAAGAAGAGTTCCTATCTCCCTGACAGCAGGCCAGAGATGTATAAACAATTCCTCGCTCTGCAGTGTAAATGTCATCAACAGCTCAGGCCTTCAAAGGGGCTGGCAGCAACTTGATTATCGCCAGCTTACAAATCTCCCTTCCCTCCCGATATCCCTCAGGGAACCTCCACAAACCTGTTGGCAAGTCTGTGGGCTTTTTAAGAACTTGGCACAACAAGCACATCCCTGCCCTTCAGAAAAAGAAAGCAACATGAGCAAAACAAAAAATCATCAGCTACAACACTCAGGTACTGCAGCCAGCTAAACAAATGGAGCACAATGGGTGAACCTGCTGGCACTGAAAATGGGGTTCTGTTGAGGCCATGCTGGGCTCAGGGATATACAGGAGCGGGCAGAAGTATAGCTGTGAGTATGTGAAACACAGAGTTTATTCTTGCATTATTTATCTATTAATTATTGTATAACTTTCCATAAGAGTTGTAAACCTACTTTTGCCCACCCCTGTATTTTAACATAACACTTTATTTAAGAATAGTTTTATTTTCTATCAGCATATACATATATCAGCATACAACATATATCATGAAGAGGAAATCAATGAAACACCTTCAAAAAGAAAGCCACTTTTTAAAATCCAGATGATAATTAGAGTAATGAGCAGCAGTCAAGTGAAAAGTTAACAAAACCCTGTGAAACCATCTGCTTTAGAAGCGAGCCATTTTAGTAACAATTCTACACATCAACCCTAATCTCTGCTCTTTCTGGTTACCAAAATAAATGATCACTTTTGCATTTATCTGTGGTATAAACATGCATAAGAATATGCATGTTTATAACTCAAGAAAATAATGGTAGAATACAAATATTTTTGGGATAGATCCTAATAATACCCCCAAAGAACAAGAAAAATCTATAAATCATTAAAATACGTGAAAAAAGAAGTAATTATCACATGGACTTCTGGTAAAATATGGCATCAAAATTCCTAGTGAGTGGAAGCATCAGAAAGAGGTTTTTCCAGCAGACTTACATGTTGACACTCAACCCAAACATCCAGAGTCTAGAATTACACCCTTGTTTTTGAGCATTTTCCACTTGCCATATATAGGGCATTGTGACACCAGGCATTGGACCTGCAGACATTTAAGGAGAAGTAACAGTAAAAAATTCCTACAGTCTCTCAGAGGATCTTACATATTACCTCTCTCAACAATCAAACCAACACAGATAGCCTTGTTTGGTTGGCTTTCAGGCCTAACTATTTCTCCATCCCTTTAGTTCATTTTTGCCATGACTAAGTCACTGTAAGTTGCAACATAAAAACAACACGGATGACCACAAGCTCTTAAGAAAGTTACAGTTTTGTAGTTCTCCCTAATTGGGGAGCTTATACAGTTGACTCTCATTATTCGGGGATACTATATTTGCAAATATGCCTCCCCACTAAAGTTTATCTATAACCCCCGCCAACACTAGCGGCGCTTTCGCAATCACCAGCAGACATGCACAGGGCAGAGAAGAATCTGAGTCGCCCAGTGCACAAGCTCCCAGTTGAGGTCCAACAAGGGGACGTTCTCGTGCTGCCTTCTTACTTCAGCTCTTACATTGTAAATAAGTGTCTTCGTCACGGTCTATTTAGTGCCTTGCATTTTGCATTTTTGAGCTTTTTATTGGTGATTTTGCTGTTTAAAATGACCCCCAAGCATAGTGTTGAAGTGCTGTTGAGAGCTCCTGAGCACAAGAAGGCTCTGATGTGCCTTACAGAGAAAATAAACGAGTTAGATAAGGTTCTTTCGGACAGGAGCTGGTTGTGAGCTCAATGTTAATGAATCAACAATACATACTAAATAAGGTGACTTTAATCAGAAACACATATAAAACAAGGTCATGCACTGATCAACTGATGAAAATGAATGCTGTGATCAGAGGTTTACGAGAACCCACCCCAGAATTTCCCCTGGGAGGAATGGTCCAGCATTCACTAACCAGTGTTCAGGGGACTACAAAGAACAGAGCTATTGTGAAGAATGAGAACCGATGGTGTTGAGGTTTCCAGTTAGAAGAGCAGTAGGGAGAATGGAGCTTATTAAGATGCGCCAAAGGACTCACAGGCCTGAAATCAGTGGCAGACAAAATGGGCAGCATTTGAATTTATAGGTAAACTGAACTCCCAATTACACTTCAGTCTCTTTTCTCACCCCAGCTGTCTAAAGCAGTGGCAGCTGAGCCAAGCACATCACTGAGGAGGCTGTCATTCAAGATGCCCAGCAGGAACTGGCTTCCTGTACTTCCCTCAGTATCTGTTGTATATCTTTAAGTTGTCCTTTTTTTTTAAACCTCAGTAACCTCCTGAAAAACTTACATCGACTATGGAACAAACTTTGATATGAAATCTCTTAGAGATTCTCTTATTAATTTCCAAAAGTTGAACAACTTTCAACAGGAAATAAAAACCGCAACTAAAATGCCCAGTAGTTTTGCAGTAGTGGCACAGAATTCTGGTATAGAACGCTTACCTGTGCCTCACTGAGGCATCTCCAATGAAAGTCACACTCAGGGGCCACCGAATAGAAAGGTGCAGAACATCTCTCAGTTGCCAAAAATCAAATTATCATCCTAACCACAGCTAGCTCGTTTCCTTTTTAACGTCCTATCTGTAAGTGAGAGGCAAATGCTCTTTACAATCTGTTATACCAATTAATATTCCGTAACAGAGATCAAACTTATACCATTCAAACACGACTCCTTTAAATTGAAGACATTAACATATATTCATTTTAACCTAATCATCAATGCCTAGGGACTTTAGTTATTATTTCCCAAACCTTTCAACATTTTTTTTCGCAACCTAAAGACCAAAGTCTACGAACTCGGCACAGGTAACAGAGACAACTTCCTTCTATTCTTTGGAGCCTCTGTGCTGCACACAGCTCAGAACAGGTGCCTTTATTTGAATCCCAAATAAACCTTTGACCACATAAGACTTAGTGGAGAAAGATAACCCAACAAATAATATAATCATTAAAGCTGTGAGAAACAAGAATCTTCAGAGTGGATTCAACAGGCTTTTATTTCTCACTTGGGCAACCTCAGCAAAGTCATTCTGATCAGACTGCTCCCTCCCTTTCCAGTTGCTGAAGGAGCAGGTGCCTCTTGGCTGGCGTGCTCAACGGCATGAGTCACATTAGGCCAGGCCAGACGGAGAGGCAACAAGGCATTTACAGTTTCCACCTAAACTCTGGAGACTTCACTTCACAGCAAGGAGGAAAGAATTCATATTCAAAATGACCTCGGAAAACAAACAGCAAAACTGCTGTGCACCATGCAGAAAAAGCGCCTTAACTGTTAACATGATACTACACCAGAAACAAAGAGGACTGCTCTCTAGCAGTGTGTGCTAGGGTTTCCACAGCCCAGAGAGACAGGGGACGGAAAGGGCTGAATCAGATGCGGGCAGGTATTTAAGCCATTTGTTTTTGTTTTTGGCAGTTTTAAAGTTAAGCACACTATTGAAAAGCAAAAGGATGGGGGAAAAGTCGTGAAAACACACTTCACTCCCCGTGGGTGAACCTGTCAGGCCCAGTGCTAGCCACACAATTAAACAGCAATGTAGGAATTCAGCAGGCAAGCAAAAAAGTGGCTGAAGCAACAAGTATAAGAGATAATTCAACCTGGAGAAAGAGGAGCTTATTAGTAAATAGCCTTCAAAACATCTAGGGATCAGTAGGAAAAGAGGAAACATCTACGGGTTAATAAGAAAAGAGGCTTTCACCCGACCGGGCATGGCTCAGAGGTTGAGCGTCGACCTAGGATCCAGGTGATTGGGGTTCGATTCCAGGTCAGGGCACATGCCTGGGTTGTTGGCTCGATCAGTGACTCTCTCATCATTGATGTTTCTGTCTCTCTCCCTCTCCCTTCCTCTCTCTGAAATCAATAAAGATATAAAAAAAAATTTTTTCTTAAAAAAAGGTTTTCATTTGCTACGGAAAAATGAATTGGTAATTAGCACCCTCTAGCACACAGATGGGTGATATTTACCACAGCAGCGTTAATAACAGTGAAAAATCAGCTGCAAGCTAAGTGTCCAAGAGAATGATGGTTTAGTAAATTCTGTCAATCTAACAAAAATGATGGGTTACGCAGAGAGGATATGAAAAATATCATAGTATGAGCATCAATCAGGGTGGATGTGGGTTGTAATGCCAAGCGTTAGCGACACTTGTATGTTGGCAGGGGTATGCGTGCATCTCTAGAAGCCATGGAGGCATCTGAGGGCAGACAATCACTTTTTACCAACTGGCACCTTAGAAGGTTTTCAATTCATTTTAACAATTGGCCCAGCAGTGTCAGTATAGTCCAGCTACATGCCCTTGCCGGCTGCTGGCATGGCAGCAAACGCCACCACGTTCTTACTCCACCCCAGGCACTGCAAAGCATAACTCACAACAGCTCTAAGGGGATCACTGTTACCATCTTTCTTTTACAGATGACAGAAAGACTCAGGGAGGTTAAATGACTTGCTCAAGTTCATTCTGCTTGCCAAAGACAGTGCTGAGATTCAATGCCAGGCCCATCTGTCAACAAAACCTGGAAACTTGACACTGTACCATGTTGCTTCCCAAAACTATGTAGCCATATGATACAACATTAAAGAGGAAAATCAAGATAATAAACTGTAAATAAATTAAGATTACACTCGGCGTTAGGGTGCAATTTTTCTTTCCTTTAAAATTTCCAAATGTTATATAATATACTGCTTTTATTATGAAAGATAAACTGTTAAGAAAAACTATCATAAGGAAAAAAATTTTATGACAGCAAGGTTTCTTAAACACTGGAAAGAGTTATGAAATTACAAATTCTTATGCATTTTCCCCCCCTCCCCAAACAGGATACTTTTCATCTGTCTGAAATGGTTCGATTACTATTCTAATTGAATAAACAAAGTCACCTGTAAATTATAGCCCTTTCTAGCACTAGGATTCTATAATACATTGTCAATCCTTATCAAATAAAAAAATTATCAGTCTAAAAATTATAGAGAGGCCAAGGCATGCATTCATTCAATTAGTATGGCCTGCCAGCCTAGTACTGCGTGTCAGTCAGTCATTTGGCTAATTGCTGGAGAACCCCAAGTTAGTCAAGAACCTCGGCTTAGTGGAGCAGTGATTCCAAGATGGTAATTCCTTCTTAGCCTGTTTTTAAGCCAACATCACTGTGTTGAAGGGTAGAGAACACTGGCTCCAGAATCAGCAATTAAGATCACACCAGTTGGGGAAAGTGTAATCCATCTCAGAGATTCAAGACGTGTTCACTCCTACCTGGGCCCCGATGGCTGCTGGGAGATCCCTTGGCCCTGAGGTAGTTTCTATGTCATCTGCTAGGAGGCTATATTTTTTTTAGGTCCCCTTGGGAGGAAATGAGACAGGCATGGATGATTGCAAAGGCAATCAGCAATTTCTGAGAATTGGCTGGTCTTGCACCTTGCGGTTAAGGAAAAGAACCTACCATTTAACCAAGCTGTACCTTTGAGAAGACAAATCTAAAATTCTGTAAATGTCACCATATGGTTCCAGAACATACACTGCCACCATCATTACCAGTGTGCACACTATAAGGCACCCTGGTAGGTCTGACCTGAAAACCTCCTCCTGATCTAGAAATAATCTAGATAATTTGGGCTCAAAGTGTTAGATAAATGTATTTACTTGGAAGGTACAGTAAGGATAGTTACTTCAGGGACATAAAAACCATTTTGTGCTCATAATAAACAGAAAGACTATTGAATTCCATGCTACCTTCCTGCAAATAAGTATCCATTTAAATTAATAAACACCCCCTACAGACTCTACACCTTCCTTTACCGTTCTGCCACTCAGGCAGGTCAACCAAATCTTAGAACTAGATTCCAGTTCATACTTCTTCAGGTTGTTAAGCACATATTAAAAAGTAAGCTGAATGTGACAGTTCGGTGAAAATTTAAGATGGCTGAAAGATCTTTTTAATCAACTGTCAGACTCCATGTCTAGGAAAGTGGGGAACTTACATTCACAATGTGTTACTCAGGCAATGCCCCAACCATATGTTATGCGTCTCACCTTCGATACAGCTTGGACTGTCCGAAAGTCATGATTACCAGTGGTACATGGAAGGTAGTCAAGACTAGAATGATCTAGAGAAAGACAAAAACACAGTCAAAAAGAAAGCTAGTCCAATCACATGCTTGCCTGTGATGGGATTAAATCAACATCTGAAAGATTGCCTATAGGCCTGTTTTGCAGTAGCCTATACTGCAATATGTCAGAAAACCAAGAAGTTACTAGGGCTTTCAATGATTCAAGGTCTCAACTCTTGGTTGAGATGGTCCCATTGCCTATACTTGAAGCAGTGAAGCAGAGCTAATCAACTACACATTACAGTAAAGGAAGAATTTAACTGTTTTATATCCAAATTACTGTAAGATATTCTCAGGCAAGAACCAGCCCTCTCCCAGTGTTCAGAGGCTAGATCAGTGTGGGTGCTGACAGAGGTCCCTGTACCACATATATCCCTCCTTTTCTCCTCCTCGCTCTTAGTTATCCATGAAATTAGTTTCTTAAATATATTTCTAGATAAAAATATGCATGAGGACAGATTCTGATAGGTTAGTACAAAGGAAGTCTCAAAAAGCCATATAACAAGAAATCTTGGAGATACTATCATAAATAAAGGGATAAATCATGGCTATTAGAGCACAACTCAAATTTTAGAAGAAACTGGGACACGCTTACAGAAATTCTACCAGAAGTTTAACAATTAATTAAGATAATAAATTTATAACTTGCTCTTCAGCACCAAAATTATATTTCTTTGGGCTCCTGACATAGCCATCATGTTCCTCAATGCTATGATACTTACATTAATGGAATACCAGAGGGTATGGGCTGTGGCCCGTCCTTGTGTGGGCAGGATAACAACAGAGCCAGTGAACACCAAGCCTGGATTCAAGACCTGGGGCTGCTGCGTCCTTGGTGCACCCTCCTACTGGGAGATGGGCTACATACTAGGAGGGTAAGGAGCTGACACTCCTTTCACTCCCCCAAGTCTGGCAGCACCTCCTTTGTGGTAGGGGAAGGGACACAGATGGAGCTGAACAGCCACGAGCCCGTGGGTGCCACAGTCCTTCAACACTAACTGTGGGAAAGGACACGGGAAAATGCAGTTTGGAAGAAAAATGGCCAGATGTGCAATGTGCAGGTTTTGACTTCTACACAGGTTTCCCACGTGCTGTCAGGCTGCCTTCTCAGCATACAGCACATTCTCCTTTCTTCCTGCTCATCTGATGCCAAACAGCCACCAAGGACTCAAAAGATGTCTATCTTCCCATTAAGAAGAAGGTGGATACAAGACAGTCCCTGTTTTAAAGCAAAACCAAACCAACCACAGTTTCCTGAGAGTCTGTCCTGGAAACATGCATTTCTGTGACTAAGGTTGGGGACAGTTTCAGAAAGTAACAACATTTAGTGCTTAAACTCCCCAAATCTACACCTTCTTCTTGCTCAGTTGAATTCACAGCATCAAAACAGTACTTACCCCAGTGCTATCTCCAACCCAAGACAAGGATACGGAGCCACTGAGATCATCAAACACATGCTGTAAGGAAAAAGAAACTCATTTAGAAATGACATCTTTCCTTCAGTCTTTGACTTCCTTAAATAATTTAGAACACTATTACTTTCAAAGTAATTAAATTCATAATTATAAGGGGACATGGATTCCCAGAACAAAATTTGAAAGATAGGGTTTAACTACTTAACCTGAATTACAAATAACTTGGAGATTTTAATTCTCTCTCATACAAAGTAAGCCAAGCAGATGAGATTTCCTCACTGCACCAGATGGGGAGATGGGATAATCTCATCGCTTTCCCCAATAGAACTAAATATAAATCTACAGAAAGTATTCTTAGGATGCTTTAAAACAAGGGATCACAGCCCACACTGACAGCTATAACTGTAACTCAATCAGCATAATTTAAATTTTTCTAGGCAGCCTTCATAGGATAGGTGCATAGTCAATAACTGGATTCCTTTTGCTTTGAGGCTAACTCACACAAATGACAAGGGACAGAAGCGAGAGCAAATGCCCTTCTTTCACCTTTAAAATAGGAGTGATGATAATAATGATATAGTAATAATAATAAAACAACCTTAATAGAGTTGTGGTAAGAGGGAGGAGACAAAAAAAAGGAAAGCTGGTGCATTGTACCCAAAATATGGTAAGATATTGAAATGTAGTTTTAATAATCATTGAAGGTGCTTTTGGGTTTTGGTTTTCAAGTACTTTCTTTCTCTATTTATAAAATAATGTATATCCATTACAGAAAATGTAGACAATAATAGAGAGGTATAATGAAGAAAATATAAATCTCTCATAATCCTATCATACAGAGATAGTCAAGGCTAACATTATAATTTTTAATCTCTATTGTTATTGGTTTTTAGCTGATAAAGAAGTAATTCCAAAAAGACCATATTGGCACTTGGTAAAAATTTCCAACCATAGTGAAGATCCTTCCTCTTTATCTGCCACATGCCCTACCACCCAAGCCCCACTCCCCAGAGGGCTAACAGTTTAGTATACATTTCTACTAAGTGTTGACGATTATGCTTTCTTATGAAGACTTATATCTTCTTAAGATTTTTAAAATCTCAAACATGCCCTGCCTATCCAAACACGAGGGGTTCCTGAGAAGCAGAGGATGTAGCCTGATACTTCTTGGCGTTTCCTGTGCCCCCCGCGATACTTTGCGCACTCAGTAAGCATTTGTTGAAATAGTTCTACATCATTCCCAAACCACACGCTCGATCTCAAAATAGTGCATGTCTATAAACGGTGGGTGCCCGGCACTGGGCTGCCAGTCCCAGCAGAGGCGTCTGAGGAAGCAGAACTCAGGCACTGTTTTGCTCATCTTCTCATTTCTTTTGGTGGTCTTCCTGAGAGGGCCTCTGGATTCACCCATGCCATCACCTCTGGACTGAAAGCACCTTTGAGGGCAGCAGGATCTCTTGTACAGTCTCCGTAAGGGGCACACCGCACACAGCGCTTGCTCAGTAAAGGCTGGTTAACTCTCAAACGCTTAGGCAGAGCTTCTCGCAGCCTCTGCGATACAGAAAGGCTATTCATACACGCGCACTGGCCAAGCATCTGTGGAAAGGCAGGGCTGCTAGAGACATCTGGAACCAGAAGCGCAAAAACTGACACAGCAACGTGTCTTGTAAGATGCTCTGCATAGAGCAAGACGGCATGTTCTCTTGAGTGAGGACAGGGTCTGAAATTATATCAATGAGCTCCTTGAGGAGAAGCAGAAATATCCAGAGCTATCACAAGCCCCAGACCACATGGGCTAACAGTCATCTAAACGTAGGCTCTCTTTCCAAGGCAGGCTCTGGTCACAGCAGCTGAGCAGGAGAAAAGAGAAATCCCCCCACTGCAGTCCTGGCTGTCCTGATCAGGCCACACCATGGCTTTTCCTGAGCCAGTCAGAGCCTGCACCTTTCACTTCTGAGACCAGTCATTGCACACTGGCATCACTCAGGTTTCCTGCTGCCCAGGCACAGAGGGAGAAGATTCTTAGATGTCACTAGCAACCTGCAGCTTCACCTAAACAGCTCAAAGGATAGTTGACCTCATTCATCATCCAAAGAGTTCCTTTGGAAATGTAGGCCAGGTTTATTAACTATAATTGTGGTCTTCTGCTACTCTTAACCCTTCCTCCCTTCTCTTCCCAAAAGCCAATTAAATTTTACTTTTGAGAATAGACAAACTCATTGAAAAAACTCATCCATCTACAGCAAATACAGCTAATTTTTTATATTTCAGTCTTTAATACTTATACTGGTTAAAGTAAAAGAAAAAAATGAAATCAGGTTTAACAATAGACCAAAGCTCTGGTGGAAAAAAAACGTAATGTGGAGAGGAGACAAATCCAGGACAGTTGGGGGACCAAGAGCAGAGACACAATTCTACTCCTTCCATGGGAGGGTTACAGGTATCTAGGAAAGGGTGGACCGTCATGGTCATGGTCAGGAGACAGAATTCACAAGTGTCAGCAAAAGGCCATCAATTCAAATGCTTAATCACTTATCATATTTAACATACTGTACATGTCACTCTACATTGTAGTGGCATCATAGGAATTTCAAAATATGTATTACTTTTAATTATAGCAATAAGAACATTGTCTGCCTCCCTTACTAGACCTGAAGCCCATCTGGTAGAGGGACCAAGCTGATTCATTTTAGCAAACATATATATAATGTAGCACATAAAAGGCACTTAATACTGAATTCATTTTAAGGATTAGTTGTGAAGCTCTGGGAAGGAAGAGGAGGAAGAGATAAGGAAAGACCCTCTTATTTCCCTGTGACAGAAATGGATATAAATATAAGAAGTTCTGTTCTGAGAGGGCTTCTGCTCTGGCCAAGGCAGAGTAACAGGGGTCAGATTAATGTTCCCACCTGGAATAGCTGCAAAAACACAAACTATGTAAAAAGATAGTTCTCAAGACACTGGCCTGCAGGCAACAAAGGAAAATAATCCCTGATGAATAGGAAACAAAGGGCCTACATCTGCTCTAGGTTACTGTCCAGAGGGAGAGTCCAGGACACTGTGCAGGGAAGGGGAACCCAGGCAGAGCCCAGATGTCCTCCTCGGCTGAAGAAATGAGCTGGTGGTCTGAGAAGAACATAGAGGCTACAGCCACCATCAACTGTAGTGACCACCAACTCCATCCACATAGGCACACGTTGGTAAAGATGTCAGGAACCCATCAAAGCGCTGAGAGACACTGGCCAGGGGCAGACTATATATATGAGTAAGAAGAAATAAAGGTGTGCACACTGAGACGTAAGCAGGGCTTACAAAGGCGGGGGCACACGGAAGCAATAGCAAGGTGGCGGGAAAAGGTAGTTGTGCGGGAAGAACAAACATGAAGACATATGCACGTTTTGAAAATTTTCAAAGGGTAACAAATATGTTAATATTGCCAACTAAAGTGCTGAATATACAGTAGATGCTATTAAGTACTTGTTAAATAAGAATTTCAAATCAGGATAAACAAAGATAAGGTGGGAATCAAAGGGAAATCAAAACAGAAAAGGAGACGTGTGTGAGAAGAAAAGTAGTTCTGCTTGAAATTCCCAAGAAAGCTGAGACGAGGCCACAGGATCACTGACTCAAACAGGCATGGTTTCCAAGGGTATACAGAGTTGAACATAATCAACCAGCAAGTTATTGTTCAATTGTTCCAATCAAGGCAAAGTAAGATGAATAAAAGAAATATGAGCAGAGGGTAAAGCTTGTGGCTCCCGAGACCTGAAAGGCAGAATAATCTCTTTAGGAAGGGAAAACCCCAAACTGCCAACACAATACAACCAATGAACATCCTATAACATTAAAATACAGAACATACAAAAATATGGTAAAATACTGAACACATAAAAAGATTCAGGAGTCAAATTCAGCCAACAGAAGGCAGAGTGAATGTCTACCTCAAGCGCTGTTACGAAATGATGTTTGTGTTAGCTGTCTGGATACATGACAACTGAAATGGAGAAGGTGGGGGAGATCTGAGCACGTTTTATTTCTGGGGAACAGTAGCTGTGTTGCTCTAACGTAGTATGCATAAGAGATGGATTATTTAGCATAGAGAGAACATGACCTGGCAACTACATATTGCTAAGCAGTCAGCCAAATGTATGTTCTAGAAGCAGGTCAAAATAAAGAAAAAACCATGTAAATATACTGTTTGTGTGATTAGCAAGCCAAAAGCCAGTATCCACAGGGGCTACGTGGTGCATATGGTAATTTAGATTACTTAATCACATCCAGGAGGTTTAAGACTAGCTATGTAAAATGTCACTTCATTTATCTGGAGATGAGCAAGAACTTGCCACATCTAAAGAGAGGCTGATTAATCCCCTCACACAGTTGCTGGCACAGGAGGAAACAAGCCAAAGTCCAAGATTGAGTGAAGTTTCTTTTAGTGTGTGACAGCGATTTTCAACCTTTTCCACCTCACAGCACACATAAACTAATCACTAAAATTCTGCGGCACACCAAAAAATATATTTTTTGCCAATCTGACCAAAAAAATAGGTGTAATTTTGATTCATTTACATGGGACAGCTATTACTGTGTTGGCTACTGTTGGTTTTTTTATTTGTCACTCTAAGGGAAAAGAGGTCAGTGCTCCTGACTAAATAGTCAGGTACTGCATGTTTGAAAAATTCTTGCTGCACCACAGCACACCAGGTGAAAATCACTGCTGTGTGATGAGGACAGCATTGCAAGTTAGTGGTCAAAGAGCTGGAAAAAAATATAAAGATGGACTCATAACTCCCTTCTTACCCCCAGTCTCAAATAAATTCCACACAGAACAAAGACTTAAATAGAAAAAGTTAAATCATAAAAATCCTAGAAGTATGAGTAAAGATTCTTATAATCTTAGGAGGAGAAGACTTTGACTAAATTAAACAAAATTTTAATGGCAAAATACCAAAGAGAAAATTAACAACAAAAACAAAAAAACACTAGGAAAAATTATTTGCAACATGACAAAGGGTTAATTTAGAGTAAGTTTTCAAGTCAGTAAGAAAAAGGCAAAGCCCTCA